TAAATCTCCCCCCCCTCACTTTTTTTTTTTATTGATGGGAATATAAACTCGGTCGACGCGCATAAACGTGCCCGGAATCCAAGAACAGGTATAAAGTCGTGGCAAAAGCCAAAAGGAACTAAAAAAAAGTGGTTAAGCGGATGTTCGAACGGCAGGAAATCGGGCATAAATAACGATGGGATCTTCCAGAGAGCATATCTCTGTTTTTCTCCCCGAGTACACGCTCTTCTAATTTCTCAGATTTTAAAATCTCTTTCTTATTAATTTTCTCCAATTTACTCTATATTACAGTTTTTGAAAAAAAAAATTTTAAGATTTTTATTTCCAAAATTCCTTCCCAATAAAAATTAAATTTACTTTTTAATTGAAAGGCATTAAATCGATGGCGAGTATAAAAATTTATTTCCAAAGTTTATAAATTACAAAAAAAAGATCTTAAAAATTGAAACACTTGAGTGTTAATTAATTTTTAATTCGAAATTTCGAATTCCTCTTTGAGGACTTTATTTTAAATCGATATACTACTATAAAAGCAAGCCGATGAAAAAAAAAAAATGCCTTCAATGATTTTTATTTTCAAACCTAAATCTCCAGAATCGCTTTACTTTTTTATATCCTCCATTACTACTTTATATTTTACTCCCTCGTTTTTAAGAGCGACACGTCAAGGAACCGGATTTCGCTTTCAGTTGTCACCGTGTATATTACAAATAAGTGGTATCACGATTCCCTTTGTCGGCTTTCAGTCTCACTGCAATTAATCACATTAACAAGCCACTAATTGTCGCGACCTCTCTCTCTATCATCCACCCCAGGGGCCTTAAATGAGAGTTTCACTTTTAAGGGCCTCATCGAAAAAAAAAAAATCCCCAATCGACCTCTCAAAGTCTCTCGACAAATTTTTAAACCTTTAACCTTTTTCTTATTCACGTACTATATATATATATACACATCAACTAATGAAATAATTAACACGGAATTAATTTTAGCCAACTATATTAAAAAGTATTTTTATGAAATTGGAACACGATATTTATATTGTCGGCGCACTATAAAAGCTTTGATATTGAGGGCGTTATTAATTGCTCGAAAAAAGCAATTCCCAATTCTTTCATTCATCATCGTATTTAATATTTTTTATTTCAAATTTCATTTTCATATAGGGTCAACTGGGGTAAATCCGAACGCTTTTAGTAAGTTTCAACAATAACATAAGTTTTTTCTTTAAAAAAAAAATACTTCCGGTATTCTGGTGCATGAAGTTGTTACTTTACTTCCATAGAACAATTTTATGGGGTAGAAAAAATTTTTGATAAATTACAATCGCAGGAAACTTAGCGTTCGTATTTACCTCGATACTTTGCAACTTTCCTAAAATATGGGGGTAAATACGAACGCCACTGTATTTCAGAAAAATCTTAGGGAAAATAAATTTAAAGTATTGCAATTGTTAAACTTATATAAAAACTCAAAAAAAATACGATAATAAACCTATTATGTAATAATGCATCATATATAAATACAAAAATCAAACAGGTTAAAAATTAAAATGCATTACACAATTAAAACCTTCAATAACTTTATCAAATCATAACGGATTTTTGCAAAACTTGGTACAGAAAGTATTTTGGAGTGATTGAATGTAAATACAAAAATAAAAGTCAAATTTTTTAAATTCAAAATGGCGGACTTTCCTAAAACTTATTTTTAAAAATGATCAAATTTGCTAACCCTGAAACCCCCCGAGTAACAATTTTCGAGCGAATCCAATGAATTTTTTAATTCTCGTCCGCCATTTTGAATTTTGAAAAACTGACTTCAAATTGGTAATTAGCGACCCCAAAAACCGTAGAATACCAAATTTTATTAAGATCCTGAAAAACTTTTTTCAACAAACCATTTGGCAAAAAAATTGAAACATTCCTTCGAGAGAACAGAGATTAAGTTTCTGCTTATTAATTACTAACGAGGATACGTATAGAAAGAAAAACTTTTTTCTATGTACTTTTATAATGTTAAAATAATAGTGTAATCAAATAAAAACAATTTTGTGTGGCTTTGATGTAAAAAAAAATTATTAAAAATACCGTTCGGATTTACCCCAGTTTTCCAATTTTCTTGGGTAAATACGAACGGTCTGATATTATTAATAAAATTTTACAGAAGGCAAAAATCAAATATAGTTTCTGTTCTAGTATTCATAACAAACAATTATAAATAATAAAATGAATTTTTAGCTTCTTTTTCTTGAAATACGAGACAAAATACTGAAAGAGTGTCATCTTTGATTTTCAATCTTTTTTGCAATACTCGTTATCTTTGTTTATGCTGTTGCTAATTAACAAACAAAAAATGGGATAATACTTAGAATCTCTTCAAGAGGATCTGAGGTAAAAATTCTCATATCGAACTTATTTTTAAAAATTTTAATTAAGCTGAAATAATTAGCGTTCGGATTTACCCCCCGTTCGGATTTACCCCGACTGACCCTAGTATTTTTCTTTTTCTTTTTTTTTTTTAATCGAAGAGACAATTAAAAAGGGTTTCGAATTTAAGACATGTCAATAAATTAGTTTGAATTAACTCCTAATTAAAGTTTATAGAACTATAAAAAATTCATTTTTTATTTTACTTTTTTTTATTAATAAAAATAATTTTAAAATAAACGTTTTTCAAACAAAAGACTAATTTTAACTTATTTTACATTACTTCTATAGTTTTTTTTTTCAACAAAAATAAAAATTCCGAAAAAAAATAGTTGCAAAAAAAATTATTTATTTATTTATTTTTGATATCAAAAATTCTCTATAGTTCAATGAAATTTCATTCAACAAAATTTTTATACTGAAAAAATGTTATTTAATACAATTTTTTTTTTAACAAATTCTATTTCAAAAAAATTTTTAATCTAAATTTTAAACGATTTTCATTTGCTAGAATTTTATTTAACCGAATTTTTAGTAGCCAAAGAATCAATTTAATATATACTTTAAAATTTTTTTAAAAGTTTAATTTAATTTTAAAAGTTTAATTTTTTTTTTTTTTTGAAATAACAGAATTTTATTTAAGTCGAATTTTTATTTAATCGAATTTTTATTGTCGAAACTTTTTATTTAGCAGAATTTTTATTCAATTAAAATTTTATTAAGCCAAATTTCGTTTCGACAAAATTTTTATTTAACCTTTTTTTATGAATCATTTAATTTATTAATTATTTCATAAAAATTTACTAATTTATTTCATAAAATTAACACAATTTCAATGATATATCAAAACCGATAGAAAAAAATACAGGAAGAATAAAATAAATAAATAAATAAATAATAATAATAATAATAGTAATAAAATAAATAATAAATAAAAAAATAATACATAAAATGACAAATTAATTAACAGCACATTCGATTAAATATGACAATTTGATCAAATAAAAATTTGGATAAATCAATTTTTTTACTTTTTATCAAGCAAAATATTAAATCAGAGAAATTTTTATTTAACCAAATATTTTTAAAAAAATTAAAAAATTAATGGCATCATAATTTACAAAAGCAAATTTTGATTAATTTTCAAATTCGCTTCTTGATATATTTGTTCAGCCAAATGAAAGTTCTGTTAAATAATAATAATTTGCAAAAAAATAAAACTCCTGACAAATATAGATTCGGTGAAATAAAAATTTCGACATTAACAAATTCGATTCATTGAAATTTCCATTAAATGAAAATTCGTATAATTATAAGTTTTGTTTAAGAAAAAAATATCTCTTAAATGAAAATTCAATTGAAATTAAAATTATGTGTATAACAATACTTAAAAGAAAATAAATGAAAATTCGATTGAATATTAAATCTTATCAATATTTAGCTAATCTGGAAATTTGACTTTAATTTGGTCTTTATTAAAAATCCAAACTAAGGAATATTTTTAAAGATCCATTTACGAATTTGTAAAAAATTGAATCGAAATTTGAAATAAAAATAATTTGAAAATGAAGAAAATTTGCAATTTTTCCCCTTTATATTGAAAGTGTATATGTGTGTGTGTGTGGGGCACCCAAAGGAAAAATATATCGGAGAGCAAGGGACAGTGAAGTGCAGCTGATAGCACATTGGATCACAAGCGCACAAATACAAGAACGGTGCGTACGATCAATGAGCCGTATCCTGCTAAACTGTTAAGAAGGAAGTGGTTCATTGCTGCACGCTCCATGTCCACATTGCTTGCTATAGCTTCGAAGCTACGTACACCATTGTATATACGCTCTCTGCTTTATGTCTCTCTAGAAGTCGCCTTTGGCGCCGTATACCTTCGCAAAAAAAGATGTTTCACATCTGTCCGACAATCCGGCCGGAAATGCTCGCGAAAAATTCAGAGCGAAACCGTTTCAGTCTCTCTAACTTCAAACGTATACAACACACTATGTATTTCTCCTTCATGCATTCTCGAGTTACAATTAAATTCAGAGTTTAAATATTTTATTCCCCCCCTTTCTCTCTCTCTCTCTCTCTCATATAAATGTAACGTTAAACCATTTAAGAAAGTTCTATTGTCCAATAAATGAGGGGGAAAAAAAAAGTTATTTTTATTTCAATGTTTATTTAAATTGAATTCAATTTACTATTTTTTTGAAATTTATTTCCCGTTATATAGACTATTCTGGAAAAGGGAAATAAATATACAGGGGGGATTTAAAAGCAGATTGAAGTTTTAAATAAACTTAAATCAATTCAGTTATTTGTTTTTGATAAAAAATCTAATTTTTTCACTGGAGCAAAATTAGTTTCCAATCGAATAGAATAGAGAAAATATCAATTGTATTTATCCGAACATGTTTTTTTATTCCATTGAAATTTTAAAATTATTTCGCTTCGCAGGAAAATGATTACTTTTTATGTAAATATTTCTTATTATTCTGATTTCATGTCATAATAACACTTTCTCTATATTTGAGAATATATTTTTTAAAATAAATATAATAATAATATTCAAAAACTCACCGGTATTTTGCTGCTTTTTAAGAAATCCAAAAGTGCCTCCAAAGCGCCTAGAGTTGAAGCCTGAACGAAAACACCTCGCTCAGCAAGTTTTATGTTTCCAAGAACGTGGGTCAACTCCTGAGCAATTTCATCTCGAAGAACATCAACTTCGTCTGGTTTTTGAGCCACCAGAAGATTCAATCCTAATTGACATACATTCAATTTATTCAGTTATTACTTTTTTCCTTATTTTTTTAACTCTTCATTTGAATTTACTAATTGAAAAAATTATTCATATAAAAATGTAATTTTTACCCGCAATTGCTTTCTCGAGATCTTTAGCAGCAATTTTCACACCTTGAGCAGCTTTAATTTCTCGATACTCTTGGTACGCATTCTGTAAAATTGTTTAATAATCATTTAATAATCGATTAATAATTGTTAATTGAATAAATAAATTTTTTTATTCGCACTTTGACTCTCAATTCCTTCAGTGGCTGTGGCATGAGAAGGGAACGAATTTGCGTAACAATCGGTCCATCCGTTCCAGCGACAATCATGGTGTCGCCTTCTCTCAACAGTCCATTGACTAGAATACAATCTATTGTCGTTCCAAGTCCAGGAAGAGCTTTAACTTCCAAAACAGTTGCTTGCAATTCTTCACTGTACATCAATCTCTTTGCCAAAGGACCTTGACATGCGTCAACGAGCAATGCCAAAAGATTTCCCATTCCCTCTCCTTTAATTTCAATTTATTATTTAATTTAATTTATTAACATTTTAATTAGAAAAAAAAAATAATATATAATTTTTCATTACCTGTTATGGCACTTGTTGGAACCAAAGAGACATAACTCCTGGGATCCGGATTCTCATAAAATAGAGCTGCATTTAAGCCCTGCTCAGCAAATTGAACAATTACATCTTTGTAACGTTTTTCAAATTCCCTTTGAGTATTTATTGATTGTGCTTTAATGATGTCCTGTACATCTTTTCGATTCATTGTATTCCAATCGTAAAGCCTATCAATCTTATTAAGAGCAACAACAAAGGGACATTTCTTTGTTTTCAAAAGATTTATACTCTCTATTGTTTGTGGCTCTAATCCATGCATAATATCAACAACTAAAACGGCAATATCACAAAGAGATGAACCACGATTTCTCAAATTGCTAAAAGACTCGTGGCCAGGAGTATCAATAATTAAGAGGCCTGGGATTTTTATTTTCTTATCTGCAAACTGAAATAAAAAGAAAAAACATTAAAAATTCTATAACTAAATTTACTATTATCTATTTTGAAAATAAATTAACTAACTCCTTTCACATGTTTCGTGGAATCTTGAATTGCATCAATTGGTACATTCGTTGCTCCAATTTGCTGTGTTATTCCACCAGCTTCACCATCTTGGACATTTGTTCTTCTAAGTTTATCGAGAATTTTCGTTTTTCCCGTATCAACATGTCCTAAAACGCATACAACAGCCGCTCTTAAATCATCCAAATTCTTCTTCTTTTCAGCTTCAATTCTTCGTGTTTCTATTCTTAATCGAGCACGTTCTTTTTTACGTTCTGCGTCTGTCATTTTGTCCTCTTGACTACTATCGTCTTCACTCTCCTCCTCGGAATCCGAACCCGATTCACTATTCGTTTCCGATTCACTATCAGAAGATTCCTTCGCTGGTGTCTCTTCCTTGGAAGTTCCTTTTTCAATTGACTTTGGATCCTCCTCAGATTTATCTAAATAATAAAAATTAATATTCAATTTCATATAATAATTATAATCTACTATTGTAAATATAGAAAAAACATTAACCTTCTTCGGCTTCATCACTTGAATCAGCGTCCCAAGAATCTTTGACTTCATCTTCTTTCTTAATTTCTTCGACTTTTGGTTGTTGATCAACTATTTCCACTTGTACCTCAGTTGAATTTTCATCATCTTTCTTCTCATCAGCTTCCTCGATACTAATTTGTGATTTCATTTTACTTGGTTTTATTCTTGTTCCTGGTCTTGGTGGCCTTTTCTCCGTGGCATCGGGTATTTTACCCTGTGCTCTCAATGCCTCAAGCATTGCCTGCGCTCTTTGTTGTGCCTGTTTTTGTTTAGGCGTCAAAAATTTACCCTCAGCTTTAAGTCTCTCTTTTCTTTGTTTCTCTTTTAATTTTTTCTTATCTTTTCTTTCTTGCTCTAATCGAATTTGTTCTAATCGCGCCTGCTCACGAAGCTCCTCTTGACGAATTTTCTCCTCCTCTTCACGTTGTAAACGTTCCTCATCTTCTTTAGCCTTTTTCAAAGCTTCTTGCATCGCTAAAATTGTCTTTTTTCCTGGTCCTTTGCCTAAAAAGGGGAAAAAAAAAGAATTTATAACTATGTAATTAAAATAAAAATTTTTTAAATATAGAATAAAATAACATACCTTTGTCTTTTGGATCTTCCTTCGCACCTTTCTTCTTTTTCTTCTTATCATCTTCTTCTGCTACTTCACCCTCAGCGTCACTTTTTTCACCCGATTTCGCAGGTTTTACAATTTCCTTCTCTTCGGGTTTATCAGACTTTTTAGGCTCTTCGCTCTTCTTAACAGCATCCTAAAATTTCAATTATTTTTATTACCAAACTATTATTAATAATAATATAATTATAAAAAAAATCAAGAACTCACCGCTTTTTTCTGAGCCTGTTTCTTTAGTCTTTCCCTCTCTTTTTTTTCCTTCTTTTTCTGAGCTGCTGATTTTACTGTACTAACTTCTTGATCGTCTTCATCATTACCTTCATCTTTTTCAATTTTCTTTTCTTGTTCATTTTCCTTGATTTTCTTTTTTTCATCTTCTTCCACTTTCACTGTCTCGACACTTTCTTTCTTTTGACCAGAGTATTCCATTTCTAATTCAGCCAATACTTTTTCAATATCCTCTTCACTATCGTTTCGCTTTTTCTTTGCTGAATAAAAAAATTTTAAATCGTCAAATATTATTATTTTTCAAATTAAAAACTGCAAAATTATAAAAATAGGAACGTTTAAATTTTGTTACCTTTCTTCCCTTTTTTCTGTTCTTGAGCATGTTGTGACTTTGAATTTTTACTTTTTTCAACAATTGGCTTCTTTTCAGATTCATTTTCACTTTCATATGGCTCTTCTTCAATGTCATCATCATCATCATTATCATCATCTCCCTCGACATTTAAAAGAGCAAATCCTCCTTTCATTGCTGTAAAATTAAAAAATTTTATAAAATATCTATTTTTAAAATTAGTAAAAGAAAATATCCACTCTTACCTTTATTTCCCTTTGTCGATTTAATTGGTTGAATTGGAAAATCATCGTCATCGGATTCTGAAGCTTTTTTTGCCTTCGTTTTACCTTTTGTTTTACCCTTTTTCTCCTCTGCTTTACTCTTTATAGATTCTTCTTCTCCATCAGAATCAGAATCAACATTCTTTTTGCCCTTTTTCGATTTTCCTTTAGTCTTCTTTACATCCAAATCAGAATCATCTGAATCAATTTGTTTTTTTCCTTTCTTATTCTTTTTATTGCCCTTTTGCTTTTGTCCTTCCATTTCATCATCATCTGAATCATAGTGCACATCTTTTTTACCCTTTTTACCTTTTGCTTTAGATTTCAACGATTTATCCTCATCAGAATCATCTCCTGAATCAATGGACAAAGCGGCAAAACCTTTCTTTGGAGCTTGATTTTTTCGATTTTTTAAATTAGCTTTCGATGATTCTGTTTCTGAATCAGAATCTCCATCTTCAATAGTCAAAGACGATTTTTTTCCTTTTGATTTTGTTAATATTTCCATATCATCATCGGAATCATCGCCTCCTTTCTTTGATTTTTTCTCTTTTTTAGACGGTTTCGATTTCTCAACTTTTAATTCACTCATCTCATTAGCCAAATCATCGAATTCATCTCCTTTCTTCTTTTTCTTGTCCTTGCCTTTCGTTTTTGATTTTGCCTGTTCATTATTTTGCTGTTCTTCTACTTCAACGTCACTTTCACTGAAAAATTGAGAAATTATATTTTAGTAAAAAAAAAAAAAAAAAATTTTTAATAAAATATATCTTGAACAAATATTGACTCATCTTTTTACTTTTTATAAAATTTGTACCAACATAAAAAACTAAATAAAAATTCTAAAACTTTATTAATTGAAAAATAATAAAATTTTAGTTCTTCCAAGGCATTTTTCTAACCTAACCTATAAAATACCAAAAACAAAATTCACATTCAAATAATGTCATCAAAATATTATTCAACGACTAAAGTAGCTAAATCAACTTATAAATACAATCTCTTGTATTGTATATTAATTAAAATACGATAAATTAATTATAATACATAAAAATTTTCACATGGTTTTTAAAAATTACTTCTGAAAAAAATAATAATATATACTCAGTGTCAAATTTTGAAAAAATTTAAAAATACCAATACAATTATTAATATAAGGAAAAAAAAAATTTATCTTTAGGAAATTCCGTTAAAGAAAAATAAGGAAAATAACATTTTTGAGAATTCGCGCATATAGTAAATGGTAACCCCTAACCTATACACATGCCAGATGTTGCATCACAAAATGTAAGAATTTTCATTAAACTATAATACTTTTACAATCGTTATAATTTTTTTAAGACTTGTTAATTTATTAGAATATTTAGAATTATAAAAAATTGATTGGGAGTTCTTTTATGTCCTTCACTGAATTAACGTAACTACAATCTGTCTGAAAATAAACTCACATTTCATCGTCCTTGTCAGCACGTCTTCCTTTCTTTGCCTTTCCCATTTTTCTCAATCGACTAGATAATTAATTTCACCACTTTTTACGCGTAAAATATTCCACATTCGTTAAATTCTTCAACATGAGAATCAAAATTTCGCACTCTGTAAAATTGACGGATATCATCCGGTTTTCACTTCCACAGATCTCTCGAATAACGTGAAGTTAGTCTCACCATATTGGAAATTCGTTTCACATTGTTACCAACCTTAAATATTTATTCACTGTTACCATTAACATTATTTACAGCTAACTTCAGTTAAAATATGGTTTAAAAAATAATAAATATTCTGCTATTTGTTAATATATAGTTAATTATACACTTGTAATCAAATGGGAAAATTTTCGATTAATTATACATTTTAATGTTATTAATTTGAAAATACGATTGTTATATATATATATTACTTTTTTTGTTGAGTGTCAAGAAATCCTATTTAAAGGTGAGGTGCTATTTTTTTTTGCCTATTTGTACAATTTTTGAATAAATTTAAAAGAATAAGAATATAAAAATTGATTTATAATATTTTTTTGCAAAATTACTGTAAAAATTAGAAACATTACATTGGGCAACAAAATATATAGAAACTACTTTGCAACATAACCTCATTCGATAAATTTTTTTTTTTTGCAGAATTATACTAAAATGATAATAAAAGTGATTATTTCCCGAACTTTTGGGCCAAGATTTGGACTATTACAAATTTTTTCTGTGAGATCATGTACAACAGTTGATAAACAGATAAAATTAAAAGAACAAACAGATTCTGGAGAACTTGTGTATGATGAGGTTCCTATTTTTGAGAAAAAATTAGAAAGCGAAGAGAGAATTCAAAAATTAAGAAACAAATCTAGATTAAATCCATCCGATCATAATCGACTTTATGGTAAAAAACCATATTCGGAAAGTATGGAATGGTTCGTATTTTAATCATATAATTAAGGCTGCATCTATTATGCCCGCGACGAGCAAAATAGATACGATTGTGTGAAGTGGCTATTTCGCCACGTCAAAATAAATGTATTTTAGAAGTCGATTGAAATAAGAAAAATAGATTATTTCGCCCGTCAAGTGATAAAAAAAACGATGCAACGATGTTGCATATATTTGTCAAATTAATTTTAAAATTAATTTGAAGTTTTGAAAAATAATTATTATATTGAATAACAACTTGATTTAAAAAAAGGTTATAAAAAATTAAGGTTTTTTTTTAATATAACGTGTTGTTAAATTTACTTGTTAATTTTCACATTTGAATTAATAACAATCAGATACGAAAAAAATAGATACAATTATAAATTGTACAATTAAAAATTAGCGCACATATAATAATTAGGTTTAATAAATTTTAGACGCAATATTCCGTAGCTTATAAAAATATTTTATTACTTAAATTTAAAAAAAAAATTTGATTATTTTATGATACTAATAAGTAAAAAAAAAAAGATTACATTAGTTATTTTCGTATCAAGGGCGCAAAATAGGTGATTGTGGCGAAGGCGAGATTAGAGAAACCAAGGGGACCCGAAGCGCCCGAGGCGAAGCCGAGGGTGCGTAGGGTCGCCGAGGTTTCTTCATAATCTCGCCTGAGACACTATCACCTTTTGCGCCCGTGCTGCGAACAACATTTTTTGTCCTGTCTGCATGGAAAGTGTATTATTGAGTGCATGCAAGTCCGCTTGTTTCAATGTTCCATCAGGGTTGGGAAGATAATATACTTAAGGTAAATTACATGTAGTTGTTTACGTATATTACGTATGTTTATTATGTCACAAAAAATGAAAACAATACATTTTTTAATGGTGCGGGCGCGAATGTATTTTGCGCCCGCTTCTATGACGTCAGCGGGCGCGAATGTACTTTGCGCCCGCATCTATGACGTCAGCGGGCGCGAATGTACTTTGCGCCCGCTCACCCCATCTCTGGGCGGGAATCACTTACTTTGCGACCGCCTCAAGTGCACGAAATAACACACTTTCCGTGCAGGTAGGACAAAAAATTATTTTCATAAAATAATTATAAAAATGGAAAAAAAACTTAAATTTTTATTATGGTTTAAATTTTACTTTCTTTAAAATTGTTAAGTTTTTTTGGATTTTCAAATTATATTAATATCATTTCATTTTTGGCCGGATATACAAATATTTTTTTTTTTTTTAAATATTTGGTTTTCTGGTCAAAAATAAAATTATATTAATATATTTTAAATTTTACTGTCAATACTTTTAAAATTAAACTTCTTCGACAATTTATATTATTTTTCATCGGCAATTTTTATACATACTTTCTTTTATAATTTCGAACAATCAATCGTATAAATAATTTTCTGGTTTTTTAAATTTTTAACTTTCAAAAAAAAAAATTTTAATTCTAAAATTGACAAAAATATTTTTTTTTCAAATTTCAATAATTTAGAATAATTTTAAACTCTAAATAATGCCAGAAAAAAAATTAAATAGACATAATATAAATTTTGAAAGGTTAAAATTTTACTGGTCCCTTCCGTTGAAATAAATTTAAAAATCGACTATTTCTGACCTTTTTTTGTATTGTAAAACGATTAAAACTTTTTTTTTCCCTTAAAGTGAATTTAAGATCTGAGTGTATTAAAGATATTTTATAAAAATAATTATTTAATTTTTTTTTATTGACATGAATGATAAAATAATCGAATTTTTTCTATAATATATATAATATATATTTTATCATTATATTTTATTAATAAATTAATACCTAATAATTAATAATAATTAATATATTTTATTCTATAATAATAATAATAATCTAGTTTTTTCGTATCTGATTTTATTTATTCAAATACGAAAATTAAATACACACTGCAAAAAGATTTATTTAATTTCAAATAATCAGTCACTTGACTAAAATTATCAAATAAGTATTTATTTATATTAAATAATTATTATTTCAGTCACTTGAATGGTATTTTTTTTTGAAATACATAAATTATTATTGATTATTTGAAACAAATAAATCTTTTTTCAGTGCATATAAATTTAACAACCCATATATATTAAAAAAACCATATTTTTATAACCTTTTTTTAAATAAAGTCATTATTAAATATATAATAATTATTTTTCACAACTTGAAATTAATTGGAAAATTAATTTTTAATAACAAAAATCCAACAGCTATTTATACCTGATGGGCGAAATATTGTACTTTAATTATTTCGTCCGTTTTTGTTTTATCACCTGATAAACACTTTTATTTCGACGGGCCACTCCGTATAATTAATATATACATATATATTAATTAAAGGAAATTAAAAAAAGCTAAATATAATTTTAAAATTCTAGGTATCATGATACTTTAATGTATAAGAGAAAAACATTTGGTCGATATGGATTAAAAGCACTTGATGCAACGCCTGGAATAGCTTGGCCAACGGAGGATGAAGTTGAAGATTTAAAAGAATATGAAAAAATCTATAATCCACTTACTTTACAGGAAAATTGGAAATTATTCGAAGAAAGAAAGCAAGCTGCTGAAGAGGCGATAAGACTCAGGTAAATATAAAATAATAAACTTAAATTAAAATTATTTTTTTTTTTAATAAAATATTTGTTTATTCATTGTAGAGAACAAGAAATTGATGAAAAATTGAAAAATATGAATCAATGGAAGCAAGATTTACAAAAAAAGATTGATCAAAAGCAAGCAACTGAAACGGCAGCGAGATTAAAGAAAGAAAAAATGATGGAAGAAATTCGTCAACATTTTGGTGTTAATGTTGATCCACGTAGTGATAAATTTAAAGAATTAATGGCAAAAAAAATGGAAGAAGACACTAAACGAAAGAAGGCATTGAAAAAAGAAGAAAAAGCAGCAAGACAATTGAAAATTTTAACTGAACAAATGCAAACAATAGATGATAAAACAAAATCTGAAGAAATAAAAACAGAAATCACAACTAAAAATAATGAAACTAAAGATCCAAAAATCAAAATCAAATAAACAATAATATAGTGTTTAAAAATAAAACATCTTCTTTGTAAATATCTTATATTTTTTTTTTTCTCACTAATACAAAAAACATTACACACATTTTTATCAGGACTAGAAAAAAGAAATAAATAGCAAATGCATTAATAAATTATGAAAAGAGAAACATTTGTGAAAATTTATGTTCCACTTTAACTGTTTTGATTAACAAAAAATTGTTTTCAATTTTATAAAAGAGAGAACGATCAACTGCGAACTGACGAATCTTGTATGTCAAAAATTATTTCCTTAGAATCATTATTTTCAAATTGAAATGAAATATCATTTTTTTCAGAGTTTAATGATGTTCGTTCTTCACTGAGAATGATATTCTCAACAAATTGAACATTCTGTAGTTTCGATTCATCAATGAGAATAACGCGAAACTTATTTTTATCCACGTGTCAGGCAGATTGCACTTGTGATGGCGATGTAAACTCGTAAAATTGAAAGCTAAGCTCCTCACTGAAAAGATTGTCCGGTGTAATCATATCGGGATCAACGATATTCAAACCCAATGCTGCGGGATTTAAATCAGTTACTAAATAACCTTCACCAATTAATCCACATTCTTCTGCAACAACTTCTTTTGAAACGGGATTTAAAAAATCTGAAATTAAACAAAAAAATTAAATAAATTCTACTTTAAGTTAATTTATTTTATTTGAAAAAAAAAAAAAATAATAAACCTGTATCTTTTGCAGAACCTGGTTGCTCTGGTTTAATATTTTGTTGTGTATTCTGTTCGTTTTGAGTACTAGCCATTGCCATTGGTACGAGATATTGAACTTCCACTTCTCTTTTAATTCCACTTAATATTTGCTCAGCACAATGTTCCAATGTTACGGAATTAACAATTTCTTCTGTCTCGTCTTCTCTTGGTTGACTAATACTCGCTGTTGCTGCTTCAACTTCGTCGATTGTTATTATTTGACTGAAAAATAAATTTTCAATATTAGACCAAAAAAAAAATATATATATATATTAAAAAAGAAAAAAACTAATTAAAAAATGAGGATTTCTGACTTTATGGAATTTGCTTCCACGATTGATTGTTTTGATCCATTATTGACAAAATGACGAGATCTTAATTCATCCTGATTGGCAATTGCCCAAAGATGTCCTGCTCCATGAGGGGCTTTTGATCCTTTTCGAAAATGTGGATTTATTGAGAGATTGTGTCGTACGGAATTTTTCCAACGATCGTCATTGCTTTTATAGTAGGGGAAATGTTCTCTAAAAACAAAAATATGACCTTTACTTAAAAAAAATCATTACTAAATTTAGTTTTCAAATACTGGTGCAAAAATTATGAAATCATTAACGTCTTGAGTAAAAGAAATTAAATGAGACGAAAATTAATAGGAAAACATAAATTAACAAAGAAACAATATAAATTAAAATGAGAACAAATTTGAAGAAAATATATAAAAAAATACAAATTAGAATAAAAATACAATTAAAATTTTTAAAACTGAAAATATTAACGGAAATTAACAAAATAAATAAAATAAGTACAAGAAATACGAAAAATTATACAAAGGATATTTAAAAATAATAATATAAATTAATCCAAAGAACAAATAAAATAATATACAAAAATAATAAAAATAAATAATAATTTACCAAATAATACGATGAAACAAAAATTTCAATTTATTTTATAACAATTTTTATGTAAAAAAAAATTTTTTTTGTAAAAATTACTAATTGATAATTTTTGTTTGATCGTATTATTTAGTAAATTTTTCTTTAGATATTAATTTTTATTATTTTTGTATAGATATTATTTTATTTTTATTCTTTTTGTATATTGTGTCCTTTGTATAATTTCTGCATTTTTGTGTTTATTTTATTAATTTTCATTTTTTAAAATTTTATTATTCTTGTTCTAATTTGTATTTTAGCCTATGTATAATTTTTTTCTTATTAATTTATCGTCTCATATTAATTTAATTTTTTGTTTATTGTTTGTAACTAATTTTTATAATTTTATATATATTATCAAACTCCCTAAAGAGGAAATCATTGTGATTTCGAAACGGAGGAAATTTTATTAAAACCCATTTTCCAAATGTTATCGGTTTTGTTATTTAATGGTATTCTATGAAAAAAATATATTTTGTTCCTTTTCTATTAATTAAAAAAAAAATGTTGCAATAACTTTTTTCAAATTGTCTCTTGTAAAGAAGGAAAATTTTCTATTTATTAAAAAAAACAAAAGAATGTTAAAAATCGGTTCAGACATTTCGAAAACTCTTGTCCCGATCAACTTTTGTCACGAAAAATATAATTTCCTTCACCTGCCCGTCGCGACGTCACGGCGTTTTAACTATTTGGCAACCCTCATTTCACAAACCCTTTCTTTCGAGGGTCGTGATCTGTTCAAAGACGATATTAAAAGCATGCTTTTATTCGCTTCGATGAACAGAATAAATTTTTACTTCTAAAATATCAATTATTATCGATGAAAACTATATAATCTTTTCGGAAAATCAGTTAAACAAAAAACGAAATATGTTCAAATAGTCATTTCTTTTTCAGGGTGTCTACTAAAAATCTGAATTAAAATTCCAGGACTTTTTCAGGACTTTCCAGGACAAATTTCTTATTTTTTTCCAGGACATTAAATTGGATGACCTTAAGGAATAAAAAAATTTTTAGTTTAACTATTGTTTTCAGAAATTATTAAAAAATTAATTAATCACTTAAGTAAATTTTTATTTTACTTATTTAATGAATATTTTTTTAACTTGATTGACAAAATTAGAAATTTTTGAAAATTTAAAAGCAAAATATAAAAAATTCAAGGACAAAAATTAAAATTCCAGGACTTTCAAGGACATTCCAGGACATTTCCAGGACTAGTAGACACCATGTTTTTTTCCCAAATTCGTTTTTTTTTTTAATTTCTTGGGAAAAATAATTTTTTTTTCCTGTGGTTCAATTGTTATTAAAAATTAGATGGAAGAAATATTTAATCGTCGTTGTGAATTTTTTGCCCTAATGAAAATTCATCTGAATAAATTATTGTGAAAATAAAATTTGAAAAAAGCAATTAAAAAGTAGAAATTGAAAAATTGTTTTTCTAAAAAAAAATTAAACAAATAATATATTCGAAGAAATGAGGTTTTAAGTATACGGGAAGGGAAAAAAAGGAATAAAACTAGATAAAATCATTGATTAGAGGAAAAGGAAGTTCCTTCTCTCAATTTCAGAAGACAATATATATATACAGTAGATAGTTCTGATTCGTGGGATACATGCAAGATTGGTGAATGAACTATAGGTTTTCACTGCGAGTTTTGCCTATATATTGAACAGGTGAAACAACGTGGGAGTGATATGTTGCAAGGAAGCAAAAGAAGGATGGCGAACAACCACTCCGGCTAGTGCCAGAGGGGTTGAATACTTGGTACCAGCCAGTGCCAAGCACCGGGGCCAGTGGTACCAAGATGTACCAACTTTCAACCCCTCAACCTCCCTCTTTTGCAACGTCGCACAAACGACGTCCTTGCCATCCTATAAATCGAAACAGAGCTTGGACAATATTTTCACAATTTTTTATTTTCCCTCAAAAATTATTTCAAAAATAATAATTTAAATTAGATAACAAAAAAAAAAAATTAACAATTTTATTCGAATTTCAAATTCATAAAGTAAAATATAATTTCAAAATTCAAATCGAAGCAGAGCTTGGACAATACTTTCACAATTTTTTATTTTCCCTCAAAAATTATTTCAAAAATAATAATTTAAATTAGATAAAAAAAAAAAAAAATTAATTATTTTATTCGAATTTAAAATTCATAAAGTAAAATATAATTTCAAAATTCAAATCGAAACAGAGCTTGGACAATATTTTCACAATTTTTTATTTTCCCTCAAAAATTATTTCAAAAATAATAATTTAAATTAGACAAAAAAAAATTAACTATTTTATTCGAATTTAAAATTCATAAAGTAAAATATAATTTCAAAATTCATGTTAAAGGAATAAAAATTGCAATAAAATTTACTTACGAAATCCATTGATAAATTGCAGATACAGTCAGTTCACCTTTTTCTTGCAAGGCATGCTCAATTAATTCAGTGTAAGTAAAGGGCGGCTTTTTAGGACCATTTTGACGAATTTTATTATCTAAATTTGATGATAAAAAATTTCCATCACGTTGATATGAATAATTTTCTGAATTGTAATTTTTTTTCGATTCATGAAACGATGATGTCGATGCACCAAAACGATTATTTGTCTGAATTTTATTTCTCTGGCCTGCAAATAAATAAAAAAAAAATAAAATTAGGAAAAAAAATCAAAGAAAAAGAAAAAAACTGATTCCTTACTGAATTGATTATTATCTTTTGGAGAAAGAAAAGTTGAACGATCATCAGCAGCTTCAATTAATGAATCGAGTTTAAAATCCAAGAGCCAGGACAAATTTCCATTTTCCTGATCTTCATTATTGTTATTTTCTTGAAAACGAGAAAATTGATTTAATCGACTGCATGATGGTTTTATTAAAGGCACTTGAGGAATTTGTTGTGGTTCCCAAAAATGTTGAATGTCTGTTTCAAAATGTTGATTTGAAAATTGCACATTTATTGGCGTCAATATTTGTCCATTTGTTTGAATCATATGAGTTTGATTTAAATCATTTAAATTTCCCTGATCAAATTCAGTAGTTTCCCAACAATTTCCATCGACAACCAATACTTCTAATCGTGTTACTGAACCATTATCATCCGCTGATGATATTGTTGAAAAATCGGCACTCGATATTTGTGTCATTATTGGACCATCTGATGATTGCATTTCAGTCATATACCTAGTAATTTTTTTTCGAATCGTTAAATTAAATTTTTTTTTTTTTATTTAAAATAAATAATTTCCTTTTTTTTTATATGTACCGTTTTCGTCCGCCTTGATAAATTTCATCGCAAAAATTTTCAATATCCAAATCGTCAAAAACTTTTCTCTTATTACGAATTGTATTTTCAGTGACTTCGCGATTTGGCACATTATTCGTGCCTGATGTAGGTCCAATCATCACGTTCTTATAAAAAAAAAACAAAAAATAAAATTTTTTATAAATTTAAAAATTCTTGTCTTATTTGTTTTTTAAAAAATGTTCTCAAATTAAAAAATTGATCTATATAAAAAAAAGGAAATTGAAAATTCTACTTACCAAATATTATTACTAAAAACTTGTTTTTTCAAAAAAAATTTTATTCACTTTATAATAAAATTATTACGTCCATTTAAACATCACTCAAAGATATTCATTTCACTTTCAAAAAAATTGAAGAACCAAAATAATATATTTTTTTTTTATAGAAAATAAACAAATTAATATAAATAATTATTTTTTCTACAAGATTTATACAATCTTCTTTTTTTCGGATATAATTTAGTGGTTGGAAAAAAAAATGAATGACAGGAGGACGTTTAGATTTATCAAGTCAACGTTTTCAGAGCATCTGAATCGAAAAGAGGTTTTCGAGTGTTTCGTATTTCTACTGTTAACGCGGCGAGATGCGCGCGCATTAAAACAAAGCGCAAACGCAGATTATAAAAAAAAAAATAAATAAATAAAAAATATTAATATCAAAAATATTTATATAAAAAAATAGTTATGCAAAAAAATATTTATATAAAAAAATAGTTATGCAAAAAAATATTTATATATCAAAAATATTAATATCAAAAAATATTTGCCATTCACAACAATAATAATTTTTTTAATTACAAAAATTTTAAACACAAAACAGAATTTTTATACAAAAAAAGAACTAACTAAACTAAAAAAATTTGTAGTTAATTAAAAACTTTCAGTAAAAAGTAAAAAAAAAAAATATTATAATTCGAAAAAAATGTTAAAATTGATTTTTAAATTTCTCTCCCGCTTGTCATTATGACCAACAATAAAAAAACAAAATTGGTAACACTGATTCAACAAAAAGCAGACGACAAACTGTGCCATGTGATCATATTGGACATATAATTTTATGTCTATTTTTACAACCGTAAAATTATTTTAAAAAAATTTTCTAATGAAATAGAATTAAATTTGACAATTCTTTTTTTTTAATATGAATTGTCATCTGCTTTTACGTTCTCTATTATCGTCAACGGTGAAAAATTGTAAGAAACATATTTACACAACGGCTGTAAATAAAGCTGATGTTTATGAACGAGATCATCGGGGTAGTACCAAGAATAAATTCTACGAACCAAAAAAGTCATTAGAAGAACAATTGTGGGAGGAATCAAGTTATTTGGATAAATTAAAATATGAATTTAACTTATATAAAAAACATTTTAAACTCTTGAAAAAGGAAATAAAAGATTATTATGACGGTACACTTTTTGATTATCGTCGTGGAGAAGTTGATGTTTTTTGGAGATTCAGTGAAAATCCAGAATGTTTAGAAGATTGGATTGTAACAGCAGATCAAGATTGTGATGATGGTTATTCCTCTTGCAAGTATGTTATATTTCATTCCAAAAAAAGGTGTTTTTTTATTTCTAATCATAAAAAAAACAATATTTCAGATTAGAATTGTCATCAATTGGAACGGGTATATTTAGCGGTACTTTGGATACAAGACTTCCAGAAACTGGAGAAAATACACACGCCGGATTTTGTAATATAAGAACAGTTAATGCAACAAAATCATTTTATCGTGAAATAGCTTTGGATTGGTCAAATTATACTCATGTTAGAATGCGTGTAAGAGGCGATGGTCGTGTTTATTTTATAAATATTGGAATGAAACAAACATTTGACGTTCAATGGTTTGAACTCAACAAATATTTATTAATGACACGCGGTGGACCTTATTGGCAGGATATTAAAATACCAATGTCGAAATTTTTTCTCACTCACAAGGGAAGAATACAAGATCGACAACAACCTTTTGAAAAGATGAAAGTAAAAAATTTTGGTATTACAATTGCTGATAAAACGCCAGGACCATTTAAATTAGAAATCGATTATATTGGTTGTGAAGCTGATGAATATCTTGAAGAACAATGTGCTTATGAATCTTATCATATTGATACTTCGCATTTATAAATTAAATGTAAAAAAAAATTGTTTATTGTAAAAGAAAAAAATAATTAAGTTATATTCATTAAAATTAGTTTTAAAACTAGCAAAATACGCGCGCGAGTAATTTCTGATAATTTTCCTAAAAGAAAGACAATTTAGAAAATAATCGTTTTTTATAAATAAGAAATAAATGTCTTTGGAGTTATGAAGCTGAAGTACGCAATGTTTATGATAAATAGAGAAGGGTAGATTATGCGATCGCGTAATTGCATAATTTTCTAAAATCAAGTAAAACCATAATACTATTGTGTTAGTTTGTATTTTGGACCTTTTGCAATACGTTTTTAAAGCGTATAATATTGCATAATTTTACTTTTTTTTTGCATAATGACCGCATAATTGGCTCAAAATTGCTAAAATAGTGCTTTTTTTAACTGAACGGAGAAAAAAAAATTTTTGTTAGTTTCTTTATTAAATTAAAAAATTTTTTTAGATAAATTAATCATAAATGAATACTTATTTCGTACCAATTTATTTTATTTTTCTAAAAAATATATCCTTTTTTTAATTTCTTACATTTATTCACGGAAATGCAGACCTCTAGAAAAAAATAATTAATTAACATTTAAATAATTAAAATAATATTATTAATTGTACTTTCTGAAAGATAAGATATTAATTTTCAAGAAAAAAATTTAAAAACTGCAAAATTTATTTATTTATACAATTTGCATAGGATAATATTTTTTTGTTATATCCCTACGGTAAAGTTTTAGAGAATCATTTTTTGAAGAAAATAAGCCATATTTCATTGAAATCGAATTATTTTTAAAAAATTCTATAGAAGTGATATAACAAAAAAAATTTTATCCTATGCAAATTGTATAAACAAATAAATTTTGCAGGTTTAAAATTTTTTTCTTAAAAATTAATATCTCATCTTTCAGAAAGTACAATTAATAATATTATTTTAATTATTTAAATGTTAATTAATTATTTTTTTCTAAAGGTCTGCATTTCCGTGAATAAACGTCCTTAAATCATTTGTTCAAGTCACTAGTTTTGGCATGTAAAATTAAACTTTTGTTAATTAATTTTTAAATACTAGATTTGTATTATTATTATTATTATTGTTCAAAGTTCAAACCACCAGTGCAGTGTTTATATAAAATAGTTCAATGTTGAGAGGGAGGCGCTTTAGTCGTAAGCGGTCGATCATGTCTTGCTGGAGAAATTAAAACATTGTTTTTAAAAAAAATATAGTTTTTTTTTTGAATTGTTTTTAAATTTCTTCTTGTATTCATTATGTTTAGTGAAAAATTAAGGTGACCAAAGTTTACTTTAAATATTAAGTGAGTATTATTCGATGTTACAATGAATTCTAACCTCAAAATAATTGTAAATAAAATAAAAAAAAATAATTCACACAAATTTGCGTTTTTAATTTAAAAAAAAAAAATAAAAATTTTTTTTGTCATTGACAATATTTATAATTAATAGTGTTATAAATATTCATTATTCATATACTTGTGTAAACTTAACCTAAAAAAGGGCATTTTTTTCTGCTAAAGAGAAAACCATACAAAATAAATTGGGAATAATTATATAATTTGTTATTGTTTTAAAATTAAAATGACATAAAATAACAATTATTTTTAGATCTATCATTGTAGTATGAATTACTTCATTCTACCAGCATTTAGAAGAAGCTGTAGAGTTTATAATAATAGATATAATTTGGAGAAATGTTTACATCAATTACAAGCGAGACTTTATTATGGAAAATGCGAGAGCAGAAGGAACAATCATCATGTGAATGGAAAAGAACGAATTCCAAGAAGAAAAGTATTAAAAGCAAAAATTTTACGTGATTTTCGTGAAACAAAAGAAAAAGTCGAACTTTATATTGAAAGGGAAAATATATGGACTATTCCAAATTTACTTTGTATAACGAGAATTGTCACATCTCCTTATCTCAGCTATTTAATTGTCTCTCAAGACTATAAGGTAAATTGGGGAATTTTTTTTTTTTTTTTGAATTTCTCACAAATAATTGAAATTTTAAATTGGTTCAGAATTCGTGAAATCAGTACAGAAAATATAAAAAATATTTTTTTTTAAATCGAAATATAGAAAAAACAATTCTATTAGACCACAGAAATGTTTCTACCAAGAGAAAAAAAATTTTCTTTTTTTTTTACAGAAGTTATTGCAAAACGATATTTTTTGTCATTTTTTAAACAAATGCTTGTTTCTCCTAAACGAATGGACCGATTTCAATAAATCAAACGGCTACACAAAGGGGAGGAAATAGACTTCCGTTTAAAATTATAAATTTAAAAAAAGTTAATTTTTGCATAATTTTTTAAAAAATTGTTTATAAACAATTAAATTTTTTTTATGTTCTGCGCCTTTTAAAAATTCGAAAAAAATCCTAAAATACTCTTAAAACTCTAAGGATTCGAAATCCGTTGAGAAAATTTATGTGCAGTTATTATTTTAATAGTAATGATAAAAATTGTGTTGCGCGGCATACAGCATTGTCGAGACGCTCACCCGTATTTTTTGGCGCTCGCGTTTTCAATAAGTCTAATTGAATTTAATAAAAAATTAATAAATAATTTAATAAAAATATAATTATTTACTTATTTAGCAGCGCATCCAGATTTTATTTTCCGATTTTTCGTTTTGTTATTGTTCATGCTATAGTAAATTAAAAAAAAATTAAATATAAAAAAAACCATCTCCTACACCGAGAAAAAAAGAGTTCTTTGATACAATGAAATCAGTTTCTTTGACAAATTTTTCTTTGATACAAAGAAAATTTATTTGTTTCAAAGAAATTATTTTAGATGCAAAAAAAAATCGTTGCAAAGAAAGTTATTTAATTCAAATAAATTTTTCTTTGACCCTATATCAATGTTAGAATTTTTTCGAGTTAATGGACAAATTTCTTTCATTCAAAGAAAATTTGTTTGAATCAAAGAAATTTTCTTTGAATGAAAGAAGCTTTCTTTTGTTTCAAATAAAATTTTATTTTGAATGAAAGAAAACAAGTCAAAGAAACTGGTTTCTTTAAATTATAGAAATCTTTTCTCTGGGTGTAATGCTTGTAATCTTCCTAATATCGAAAAACATTCAACAAAATAACAGCAGTATTTTGTATTTTTTTTTTAATTTTTAGTCTGCATAAAGTGCAAATAATAATAATACGAATTTTTTTTGCATCCTGGATAATTTCTTTGAAACAAATAAATTTTCTTTATATCAAAGAAAAATTTGTCAAAGAAACTAATTTGATTGAATCAAAGAACTCTTTTTTCTCGGTGTAGGAGATGGTTTTTTTATATTTAATTTTTTTTAATTTACTATAGCATGAACAATAAAAAAACGAAAAATCGGAAAATAAAATCTGGATGCGCTGATAAATAAGTAAATAATTATATTTTTATTAAATTATTTATTAATTTTTTATTAAATTCAATTAGACTTATTGAAAACGCGCGCGCCAAAAGATACGGGTGAGCGTCTCGACAATGCTGTATGCCGCGCAACACAATTTTTATCATTACTATTAAAATAATAATTGCACATAAATTTTCTCAACGGATTTCGAATCCTTAGAGTTTTAAGAGTATTTTAGGATTTTTTTCGAATTTTTAAAAGGCGCAGAACATAAAAAGATTTTAATTGTTTATAAACAATTTATGATAAAATTAATTTTTTTTAAATTTATAATTTTAAACGGAAGTCTATTTCCTCTCCTTTGTGTAGCCGTTCGATTTATTGAAATCGGTCCATTCGTTTACGAGAAACAAGCATTTGTTTAAAAAATGACAAAAAAAAAATCATTTTGCAATAACTTCTGTAAAAAAAAATAAATTTTTTTTTCGCTTGGTAGAAACATTTCTGTGGTCTAATAGAACTGTTTTTTCTATATTTCGATTTAAAAAAAATATTTTTTATTTTCTGTGCTGATTTCACGAATTCTGAGCCAATTTGAAAAAAAAAATTGTGCCTTGCATGCGATAAATTATTTTCATACCAGGAAAAATAAGAAGAATGAACTCTGCACTAGGTAGCTTTATGGTTCTTGGGATTCGCTGGTCTCAGTGATTTAGCCGATGGATGGATTGCACGCACCTGGACATCGCAGGCCTCAAAACTTGGCAGTGTTTTGGATCCGGTTGCAGATAAACTCCTCGTTGGATCACTTTTTATTTCCTTAACGTGGGTGAATTTAATTCCAGTTCCATTGACAATGCTCGTCATTGCAAGGGACGTGCTTTTAATAATTGGCACATCATTTCTTCGCTATCGCAGTCTTCCTCCTCCTGTAAGTATTTTCTGAAAATTAAATCATAAAAATATTTCTAATGAATTTTTTTTTTTTTTGTTTCATTTTAGAGAACAGTGGCAAAATATTTTGATCCAACACTTGCAACTGTTCAAATTAAACCACATTGGGTGAGTAAATTAAATACGGGAGTTCAACTTGTATTTGTTGCTGGAACCCTTGCGGCACCTGTTTTTCACTATGTTGATCATCCTCTTTTAAAAAGTCTTTGCTATTTAACGGCAATCACAACAATTACCGGTGGTTTAAGTTATGTTTTTTCAAAAAATAGATATAAAATTTTAAAAAAGAAAGCAACACGTCATTCCTAAACACAACAATAAGCAATGTGTTTGTGAATTTCAAATTAACAAAAACTGTATATTGTATATTAGGAAATATTTACTATTTTTAAACTGTGTACAGAATTTTAGGAATATTGTGTATATATATATATATATAAAAAAAAACATTTTCTTCAAAGTAATTAAATTTTTGAACATTACTTTTTTTGATTATTTCATATTCAAATTTTACTTTCATTTATTCATTTTTTTTAGATAATAGAATTTAATTAAGGAGAGTGGTAAATACATATTAAACTAAAAAATGGTTTTCGCAAACAAAAAAAAAAATTAATTTAAAAATCTTTTTTTCTTCTTTCTCTACAATCGTAATTTTTTTCAAAGTTAAAAATATATTTTTTAAAAATTATAAACAAAAAAATTGTTTTTATATTAAATAATTTTGTAAAAATATTGAATTAATTTTTATTACATTTTTGTTTGTGATAAAAAATCCATTTTTTAGTTTGTACGGTCACCATATTCTCATTAGGAAAATATTCTATCTTTCCGTTGTTGGAAAATCAATTAGTTTCCTACCAATAAGATTTCAAATTTTTACTTATCAGAAATTAAAACAAAAATATCTCATACTCGAGGGTTTTTTGACGATCGCTAATTATAAAATTAAAAATAAATTAAATATGGCATTGCTTATTGAAACTAATTACTCGGTGGGAGTCGTTGACCCTGAAAATATTCATGTTTCCACAGTGTGAAATTTATTTAAATAAAAAAATAAATAAATAAAATATGAAAGAGTATATTTTTATTTACAATAAGAAATCAATACTGTGAGAATCGATAAAAATCGATTTCCTCTTTGGATTTTCAAAATATTGTGTATAAAATTCGAAGGATTAAATTTAAAAATAAATAAATTTCAATTAAAAAGGAAAGTTTCGAACGATAATAAAAAAAAGGTGGAATTAAAAAATAGTTTGCGTTCTCAAGGTTCCTTTTATATAGGAATATATATAGGGGAAGTAGTGAAGTTGGAATTTTCCAGTTTATGAATCAGCAACCCAGTGACTGAGTATTGAGATCCTCTTTTCCACCCCCTCTGCGCCACTTTATAGGGGGGTTGTTTTTTTTTATGAAGGGGTTGAAGGATTGAGGGTCGCGCACGCGTTGTTTCAATTGAGGTGGTGGTGCTGCAGGCGCACGTCTCAAGCAAGCAACAGAGTGCTGTATATCCCCCGCCCACGTATTATTCGGCGTTATAACCACGTTTGTAATCAAACATACCAAAGACCACGGGGACTTCCTGGCCGATTGGATAATGCATCATCAGCCGAATTTTGCTGGTGTCTTCCTTGAAGATTCAAACGACCCAACTCACTTGATCACCCTCTAACGGGCGAGTATGATTCTGGCTGGATCAGACCATTTCATAGCGGGTAAGTCCACTCACTCTCTTTCTCTCTCTCTCTCTCTCTGACACCATCTCCTTGAATAAAATATGTCTTCACCTAATTTCCTGAAACGCAATTAATAAACATTAAATTTCTTTCATTTTTTCTAATTCCCTTTATTGTCAATTTTAATTCTCCCATCTATTGCGCAATTTCAAATAATTTAAAAAAAAACAGATTTTTTTTCAATAATTAAAGTAATTAAGTAATTAAATTTTTATTTCATTAAATTTAATTTTATAGAAAGGTACATGCAAAAATTTATATGAAAAACGAATATTTTAGAAAAGACGAGTTCAAGTTCAGAGGCGATTGAACCTTGAGGAGTAATGAATTTTTTTTTTTAGGTACAATTTGATTTAATATATTGAAAAAGAATTTTCTCAAAAATAGTATAATTTGATTTCTATCAATGTTGTTAATTTGAAAAATAATAATTTTTCTTTTTTATATCAATATATTGTACGTCAGCTCATTCAATATTAATTTGTAAGGGAGGGAATTTCTAGAAGGTTGAGAGATTGCGTCGTAACTTTATTTATTATTTTTTTTTTTTCATCAAAAACTTTCCAAAGTTATACCATGTATAGATTCAACTATGTCAATCGAGTTAATTGATTTAATCACTCATAAATATGAAAATAAAAAGGCAAATTTTCAAATGAGAAAATATTTTTATTTTTAAGCGAATTTTTATTTGAAAAATGTTTTTAAAAAGTAAATTTTTTTTTTGTTCTGATTTTTCGTAAATTAAATTCTTTTTTTAATTACTGTAAATTATTTTTTTACTTTTGTGATTAAAAAAATTCTTGAATATTGATTATGAAAAAAGAATATTAAAAAATTAAAAAATACCCTACTGCGTTTTTTTTTTGTTTTTTAAATAAAGGGAATTTTTTTTTTTGAATTTAAAAGAAGGTTTCGTGCGACCTATTTCAGTGCCAGTAGAAACGACAGCGTTTCTGGGTGCCTGTGCTGGTTTCGTGACTCTTCTGCTGGTTGTGGTTCTGTACTTGTCGCGCAAGTGGTGCTTCATACCGCCCTCGTCAACGATACTCTTTGGCGGTGTCTGCGTGCCACTTTGCGAGTCCAGCAACAGCTCCACGTCCCAGCCAACCAAGAATTTAGGTACGATTCCAGAAACTAAAAAAACAACTAATTAGCAAAAAAAAAACGTACTTAACATTTTAGATGGCTAAAAAAATATATCCCCCAACAAAAATATACTCTTTCTATACAGATCTTTAAAAAAAAAAAAAAATGTCTCCACACACTTTATTTTAGAAAAACTTATTTTTTTATTTCAAAATATAATTTTTAAAATAATTAATTTTGGGTTTTTTTTCTTCATTTTTTTCAATAAAAAATATTTTTTCAATCGTTCTTTTTTAATTTAAAATAAATTGTCTGGAGCGCTATTTGAAAAAATAAAAGATCTGGATAGAATAAGAGTAATAATAAAAATAAATATAACAAAGTTAACTGATAATTTTCCTGTAATGAAACTTATTTTTCTTATTTTTATTCTAGTATTTCTTGTAGAAAAGGTGTTTAGAAAAAGTAGCATTTTTTCTAATTAATAAAACATTAGTTGATTCATTTTCTTTAGGCAAACCTTTTACATTTTCGGATCCGGAGACGAGCTCCGATTCCGAAGAGGACGCACTGCGCAGACTGAATTATCGTTTGCAACATCCACCAGACACACTGACAATTCAAGCAGAAGATGGACCTCCCTTGGGAGGTAAACTGGTTCTTTTTATTTTGTTTAAAGGAAAAAAAGAAAAAAAAAAAAGTAAGAAAAATTGAAAATTATATTTTTTATTACCTGTTACTGTAGATGTTGGGACCACTTCCAGCAGTTGTACCGAAGATCATTCTCCAGATCAAATGGATCCAAATTCCTCATACAATAACAGAGCAGAACGACAGGTATCTAAAGTAGTAAAAGAAAAATTGTCATTTTAACATTATTTAACAAAATAATTTAGATTAATTAGTGCCTGAATTTTTAAAATGAAGAATTTATTTTTTACTCATAACAAAATTAGTGATTTTTGAAAATGATTTTTTTATTCGTTTTTACTTACCTTTCAGTGTGTGGTAGAAGTAGGCGCACCGGGTAATTCTTTAGATATCAGAGAATCTGATTCTCAGATAGAGCACAATGCACTACCTACAAATGACGTGACAACCATTGGAGTTGTTTCCGAGGAAGTTGGTACTTTAGAAGTTGCTTTCCTCTACGATGCTCCAATGAGAGAAATGACTGTAAGTGACAAAAAAAAACAATTTTATTCTTTTTAAATTACAATTATGATAAAAATAAAAATTATTTCATACTATTTAAAAACTTACTTCTTCTTTGGTTCAAAAAAAAAAAATTGTGATTTCCGATTCTTTTGACAGGTTCAAGTTCTTCAAGGTCGAAATTATCCAGCAGGAATAAATGGCAGTCAAGTACGTCTAGTTTTATTGCCCTCGAAAAAACAACGGCGCAAAACACGTGTACGCCAAGGAACATCACCTCAATATATGGAGAGTTTTTTACTTCCTCGTGTTAATCCCGAGGATGTCAATGCAATGGGCGTAAGACTCAGAGTCTATCTCTGGGGTGGAAGAATGAGACGTGAAAGACTTTTGGGCGAAGCACGAGTTTGTTTCGATCAAATAAATCTTCAACTTGAGACCACTTTGTGGCTCAATGTTCAACCACCTCCATCTTCATCGGTAATTATATATAAATTAAAATGAAAAAAAAAAAATAAAATTTACCTTATTAAATAATTATAATAATTTTGCGATTAATGATTGAAAATTTGAAGGTCCACGAGTGGGGAACAACTAGCAGTCTTACTCGAAGTGATTCCACGGGTTCTCAACAATCAGTACAATCCTATGCATCGCCAACAACTCCTCCATACGGAAGTAGCATGAAGGGCGGAAGTGCAGCTGAAATCCTCATAGGTTTAACCTACAATGGTACCACTGGACGCCTTTCTGTTGAGATTATTAAAGGATCTCATTTTCGTGGTGGCGGAGGAAATGATACCAAACCACCTGATACTTACGTTAAACTTTCTTTGGTTGACAGCAATTGTCATGAGATGGCACGGTCAAAAACTTGCCTCAAACGTGCTCAACCCAATCCTCTTTACAAGGAGACGTTCATATTTCAGGTAATTCATAATAATTGAAATCAAATAAATTTGAATTTAATTTTTTATTTTTGTAATAAACAAAAATACTTATCAATTCTAATTTTCTTATGGGGGGCGATGTTTTTTTTCAGGTGCCTCTCTTTCAACTTGGTGATGTGACCCTCTTTCTCTCAGTTTACAATCGTCGACGAGGTAGTATGGGAAAAAAGAGTAAGGAAATGATCGGTTGGTTATGCTTGGGCTTGAACAGCTCCGGTGCCGAAGAATTACAACATTGGAATGATATGCGTGCCTCACGAACACCAACTCAAGTTCAACGTTGGCATTCTCTTCTTCGACCTTGAAATTCAAATCACTCTCCCATCTGGTGACAATTGTTTCAAAAAAAAATCTTTGCACTGAGCTGCAAAGTCCAAAAAGAAGAAAGAAGAAAGCACTTGTTTGACTTAAATTTCCCCGACCTCAGGAAAGTTTCCTTAAAAATCTTGAGTGGATTTTGATAATTCGTACTGCCTGAAAAAAAAAAACAACAACACCGAAGTCAATACAATGTCAGCGCCTATAAAAAAATAAAAAACAAAAAAAAACATTTTATAGCGCAAAAGACAGTTCCAATTTGCAAAGCAAGTTGAGAACTTGTGAGATTTCTTATCAGAGAGTTTCCATGAAGAAAATTTTTTTCATCTCTGAAAATTTTGTCCTCTGAAAAGAAAAAGGATTTTTCAAAAACCTTCGGGTTTTTCTTGTAAGTCCCCCATTTCCCAATCCCACTTTGATACGACAAAAGGCCAGAAATTGATCAATTCAGAGGTGATATGATAAAGCTTATGGTTTACTTTGTGTGCCTTTCATTCCTCGAAATAGAAAAAAAAAAAAAAAAAAATGCTGGAATATTGAACAGTTTGGTTCGAGGATGGATCGACGCAGTTTTGCCTTTTCTGTTTTATTTTTTTTTTTTTCTGAAAAGGCAAAACACGATTTCAATTCAATGACGCACAATAAACTTCGCATTCGCACCTCGTAAATGCAGATGTGATTTTTAGGATTGATTACAATTTATCTATTAGGGCTCTATAGGGTCGATTATAGTTAAATAGCCAGCGATTCCTAAATTTTAATTCAAATTTTTTAATAACCAAACATTTTCATTTTTCCATAATACTAATATAATTTTCAAATTAACTTGAATATGCAAGAAAAAAGGAAAATTTGTTAAAATATAAGAAAATTGTATATACATAAGAATGAATTGAATTAAAAATTTAGGACTCGAGAGCATTTTTTTGATGCCCTTCTATACGTATGCAATTTGTACGTGGATTTTTATTAAATAATCCGCTAAAATCCCACGATTTCAGTAAATAATAATAATACAAAAAAAAAACATAGGCAGAATTATTACACATATTAAGATAATAAAAAAAAAGTACCTTTAGACTCGCATAGCTAAAGAAAAAAAAAAAAAAAACACAAAAAAAAAGAAGCGACTGATAATGTACTCAAAACGGACAAGCGAATGCTGTGACGCGAATCTCATAATCTTTTCAAATCTTAACATTCTCGAACCGAATCTTTTCGATACGTTAACAATTGAAAAACATTCAAATTTTACAATTATTATCGTCGCAAATATTGTTCATTAAAAAAAAAATAATAATAATGAACTGCTTCAAGTCAAAGCGTATTTTATAATTTTCAATGTCACATTTATTTTTTATTTTAATTTTGTGTCACTGAATTTTGATTTTTCAAAAGCACAATATTTTTAATAATTTATTTTTAAAATATAAACCCTCGACAAAATTTTTATTTTAAAAATAAATAATTGATTTTAGAAAAAAAAATAGATTTTATTTTCATGTTGCAATTCGTTTAATCATTAATATTGAACTTTGACATTTTTATCTTAGAAAAATCCTTTTTACATCGAATAATATATCTATTTGTCGAGTTTTTCTCCTAAAGCACCTTTTTCTCCATATTCATTATTTAAATTTTTAAACGTCTACTGCACAAAGTAGTTATCTTAAAAAACAAACAAAAATCAATGTTATTTCGTAATATTACAAAAAAAAAAAAATTCATAAATAACTGTATCTGTGGTGTTTTATAAAAACGTGTACCTCTTCAGTTACAAAAATAAACTTACAAGATAAATAGCATGTGTTTTTGTAATTCTCTCAACACATTTTGCGAGGGATTGACATTTAATATTTTATCATTTCATATCCTTATCAAAAATAATAAATTTAATAATTTAGTCTGATTGAAATAAAATAAAGTCCATTTAGAAATAATGTAAAGAATACTAAACATTTTTTAGTTTAAAATCTATAATCTTATTTTTCAATTATTAATAGTAAATAGTAAATAAAATTTCCAACTTACTAAACTTGAAAGAATTCACTAAAGATATTTTTCTATTAATTCTTGTTTTTTCTTTAATAAAAGAGCCTCCTGCATATCTTGTCGACTTGGTATTTGTTTTTGTGCTGTGGTTTCATCATTCATTTCAACATCTTCCAATTCTTTATCCTTCAATGCAATCCAATCGTCAATTAATTTTTTTCTCGCCTTTTTCTCAATCTTTTCCTCCAATGGAATTAGAATTCCATCATCATCATCACGATAACCATAATAATCGGCGTCAATATCTTTCATTAATTCGGCTCTCGTTTTTCTTGGTGGTGGTGGTGGTTCCTGTTCAAAAAGTTCTCGAACACCTGGCAATTCTTTAGCGGCACCAAAATATTTATAGCCCTTATTTCCTGGAACCTTGGAAAAAAAAGTAGAATATTAATTAACAAAAATCAAAAATTATAAAGAATTTTTCAAAAAATTTTCAAATTATAATTACTTCACGTCCTTCGTGATCCAACATTCGAGGACCAGTACGAGAATAATCGGGACCACCTAATTCTTTAATTTGTGCTTCCCAATGACGTTTTTCTCTTAATAATTTATTAATTTCATCATTAAGATCACGAATACGAAATTCGCCGAGGCCGGCATTTTGAATTTGTGATACTTTTTTGGCAATTTCACGAATTATTTGTGAACGCCATTTTTCACATTTTTTTAAATCTCGACATTCAGATGCCAAAAAGGGACGTCGTTCCTGATCTTTTTTGCCACCTTCGGAACTAGCTGCTCGCCAACGAGCAAGCGTTGTCCTAAAAATTAAAAATTCACGTAATAATTACAAGGAAAACAAAGCTTCCTCCAAGAGGAAATAAAAATTGTTAGATTTATTTTTATTTATTTTTTCTATACTTACATTGCCTTCTCTGCATTTCGAGCCTAAAACGAAAAAAGTAATTAGATTATTTATATATTTTAAATGAAAATGAAATAAAATAACAACAATACCAATTTTATTGTTTTTATATTTTACTATGAGCCGAAAGTTTTGAACGTTCATATGAACGAAATATTTTTTTTAATCTATAAATTATTAAAAATTATGATGACCATGTAAAATAAAACAGTAAATTAAACAATTATTAAATTAATAACATCTTTTTAGATATTTTAAACAATATTTTGTAATAAAATTCGTACTTAAAAAAGTTGCAAAAAAAATTTCGTTCATATGAACGTTCAAAACTTTTGGCTCATTATTTTACTTTAAATCTTAAAAGTGTATAATAAAAAAACATAAATATGAACTTAATGTTAAAATTTAATTTTAATTGTAAACTAGAAATACTGAAAATGTTAAAAAAGTAAACACATTTTAAATTAGGATTTCGAAATTTCACTGTATTGCAAAAAAAGCTTTTTACAGAAAAAAAGAATTAGTGTGTTTGTACTTACCATTTTGATTTATATTATTTTTTCTACCTATTATTTTAATAAAAACCCAGTAAATCCGGTAAATAAACAATAACACTTCGTCGAATGACGTTTTGTTTAGAATTTAAAACACTCCATAATTTAGAGGTTATGTTTTTAAAAAGCCGGTGTTGTGTCTATTTTTGCCGTGTGGTGGCGTTTTTTAAAAGGCGGTAAAATTTAAGATTTGAAAATGTATAAAAAAACACTCACCAATGGAATTTTAATTTATAAATTAATTTTAAAAGGACAAAATTTATTAAGATTTTGTAAATATCAAAATATTACTATTGAATTACAGAATGGCGTTCCATACATATATAGATATTGAAGTCAATAAAAAAGTTGGTAACCTAACCTAATTTTACAACAAGTTCAAAACAAAACCTTATTCGATGTATATTTTTGACAGTACCAAAAGTTATATAAATGTTTTATTTATATATTTTTTTTTGTAAAAGAACCGAATTTCGATTTAACTAATTTTAATTTCAAAATTTTTAATACACTCTTTAAAGAGTAATTACAAATGAATGTTTATAAATATATTTTTTCTCTCGAAAGTTAAGGTAGGTACTAACGTCCTAAGTATTTTTTTAAAACTAAAAACCAGAATTTCAAATTGACAATTATTATGGTTTTAGAATGCAAAATTATTCCGAAGGTCAAGTGAATATTCTGTAAACTAAAAAATGTATATTTATGTACACAAAAAACGAAAAAGCAAAGATAGTTTTGTTTACGCACTTAGTTTACACACTAAAAAAAATTTTTTTGTTTTTTTTAAAAGTATTAAAATTTGATATAAATTTCACATAATAATATAAATCGTATAGAAATTATTTTCTTTTTCTTTATCAATTAAAATCATAGTTTTGATGATAAAAATTATAATTTAATAAACACAAAAGAACAGTAAAATTCTATTTTTAAAAAAAAATTTGAGTCATTGAGAAATTTTAAATTTGTTCTGATTTAATAATCTTCATAAAAATTGATATAAAAAATAAAATTCGTGACAAATATAACGAACTTTATATTAATTGTACAATCAATTAAATAATTAAGACTCACAAAGACTTTTTGATAAAGGTGAGAAAAATTAATTCAATAAATAACCAAATCTTTTTTTTTTGCAGAATAATACAAGGAAATTCCTCTTTAATCACCTTTATAAATTAGAAATATGCACGCACAAATATGAATAACAGTAAAATTTTACAGTGAATCAAATTTATTGTCATTGAATATAAATTTGGACAAAGAAATTCGTGAAAATATTTTAAAATTAATATCTCAAGGCTAAACAAAGGTAAATTTTTTATTAAGTGAATTACAAAATGAATAATTTATATTAATAATGTATATATATTTTTTTTTACTGATAAAAATATTCTTAATTTAAAAAATAATATATTCTCCGAAAAGAAAAAATTGTCCATAATTTAAGAATAATATTTCATTCATCTTATATATTGAGGAATAAAATCATCTACATTTTATTCTTATAGTTAGAAGATAACATAACGAATATAGTTCTTATATTTTTTAGTCAATCAATTAATATTTTTTTAATTTTAACTGTTTCTTGTTTTTAGAATATTTTATTTTAACTTTAAGAATAGAAAGAAAAATTTTTTTATTTTTAAATCTAATAGAAGATAAGAAATATTCTTAAAATTGTAATCAAAAAAAAATTTTTTTTTTTCAGCAAATAACTAACTGGAAAATGGAAAAGAAAAATGTCTAAAAGTTTTTTTTTTGTATTTTTAAAAATAATTGACCTATCGCAATAATTGAAAAAAAAGAGACAAAGGTAAATAAAGACTAATTATTTCTGAGAAAGGAAGGAATAAATAACATAGAAATTATTTTATCAATACCAGCGAAAAACATGCAATTATGGCAATGAAGAATAATTGTTTAATCTGTGAACAAAAGTTTAACGTAATTATTCTTAGACATTGTATTTTTTTGCATTTATAAAAATTCTATTTAAAAAATATTTGTCGATAGAGATTTTATAATATTAATTAGCTTTTTTTTTTTTTAAAAAAAAAAGAGAAATAATTCAATGAGAAAAAGTACAAACATTATTTGGCATAAGCAAATTGTAATTTTGCTTACGCGAAATATTTGCGAAAAACCGGCTTAATACCGGTTTCTTATTACAAATATATATATATGAAAATAGAAGTAATATAAGATATGTTGATAGTAAAGTTGTATAAGGAAGACCGGTTTGTCCTAGACCTTGGTACATGTACAGCATCATAGTTTATAGAGATTTAGTCAATGTCGTTTTTTTTCTAAAAATTAATTTTACTATTATTTGTTTTTCTTTTCTTTCGTTTTTTCTTTTTTTTTTTGTTTCATTTATTCTCAAATCACTGTGAGATAAAAGCGTGCGCATGTCCAATCTTTAAAACACGCGAGGACACAAAGTAGGAATTTTATAGATAGCTGGGATGCAGGAATATATATATATGAGCGTTGTAAAGAGAGGAAATTGCATATTGAAATACTACTCGGAGTGTGGTATTCAGTTATAGTCGCAACTTTAGTCCCAGATTCGTAAAGACCTTCATTGGGTTAACTACAGTTTAACGTTCGCAAGACTCGTTGATTGTAAAATTGCTCCTTTTTGTATTCGCACATTATTTTATATTTAACTAATTTTCAATTAATTGGAACAAAAAAAAAATCAGCATAATGATGCGTAAGTGTTTTCTTTTAATTTACATCTTTTTATCTTCAATTATTAATAAACAAATTTTATTTTTATTCATAGAAAATATATAATTTTTCATAATTAAATAAATTCAAATTATTAACTCTGTAAAATAGATTGAAAACAAAATTAATTATTTTTAATTTCAAAAAAAAAAAAAAAAAAAATACATACCTAGACTTCCGGAAAACTTTTATCATTTGTTTACTAATAATTTATTTTTCAACTAGCAAAATTAAACGCGCGCCAAATTGAATATTTAATTGTTTGTTATAAAGAAATTAAAGATTAATATTATCAATAATAATTTAATTTATTAGAATATTATTACATATTAAATGATAATAATGAAAATTATATGTTTACAAGCCTCGGATTATACGACTTTTTTTTCAAAAATACGACTTTTATCGACTTATTTTAATAAAATGCGACATTTTTTTTTTATATTTGAAAAAAAATGTAAATAAAATACATTTTTTTTAGTATAAAATGTAGATCTTCTTCAGATCTTCTCACAATTCAATTATTTAACAAATTGTGAACTAAAATGATTCTTCACTAAATTAATTATTTTTAATAATTTTAATGAAATATATCACAAATTCAATTATATCAAAATTATTTATCAATTAAAATTTTTATGAAATTTATTATTTAACAATTGTTTATAATTGAAAAAAAAATATCACAATAAAATTGAATTATTTTTTGAAAAATTTCAATTTAAAATAAACTAAAATTCAATTATTACTCGAAATTTTAATTCAAAATCAATTAAAAATCCAATAATTATCAAAAATTTTCAATTTAAAATTTAATTATTTAACAAGTTTTCAATTTAAAATGAAATAAAAGTCGATTATTTTCTAAAATTTCTATTCAAAATTAATTATCCAAATTTTCAATCAAAAATGAACTTCAATTAAATTATTATCCAAAATTTCAATTAAAATTCAATTATTTCCCAAAATTTTCAATTCAAAATAAACTAAAATTCAATTATTATCCGAAATTTTAATTCAAAATCAATTAAAATTCAATTATTATCCAAAATTAATTATTATCAAAATTTTCAATCAAAAATCAACTAAAATTAAATTATTATCCAAAATTTCAATTCAAAATCAAAGAAAATTCAATTATTTTCAAAATTTTCAATTCTAAATCTTTTAAAATTCAATTATTTTCCAAATTTTCAATTTAAAATCAAATAAAATTTCATTATTCTCAAAAATTTGAATTCAAAATTAATTGAATTTTCAATAATTTAAAGTGAAAAGCATCTAAAATTTAATTATTTCTAAAATTTTCCAATCGAAAATTTTTTTTTTGAAATTTAATAATTTCAATTATAACTCTAAGGAAATTCAATTATTTTTAACTATTTTAATAATATTCTTTGAAAATTCAACTATCTGAAACCATTTTTCAATTAAAAATGATTTTCAAATTATTATATTTTGTCCTCATTTTCTAATAAATTTTTAGTGAAATCATCTAAAATTTTAATTACAAAACACTTAAAAGTTTCAATTAATTTCAAAAATCTCAATTTTAAATCTTTGAAAATTCAATTAAATTTAAATAATGTTTTCCAAAAATTGTTTGATAAATTATTTTTAGTTCTGTAAAATTTAATAATTGTTTTGAAAATTAACAATATCTTTTGAAATTTAATTATTTCTAAAAATTTCAACTTTAACCCTTCGAAAAGATTATTAAAAAAAAAAATTTTTATTTAAAAATCTGTAAAATATTTTTGTTAAAATAAAAAACAAATCCACTTTTTTGGAATATAAATCGACTAAAACGACCTTTTTGTGTCTTTAAGTTGATTCGAGGCCTGTGTTTTTATAATTAATATTTAATGGGTATTCGTTGGCCCCTGGTACCTTAAAAATAAATTTTTTTCAAATTACTATCTTGTACTATTCAAAAAAACACGTGAAATCAGAAAAGGCCAACTTCAAGTTAGGACAGGACAGACCAAGCATTTTATTATTATATATAATATAATAATAATATTATAATAATAAAATAATTTTTATTCTTTCAGGTTTGGCATTTTGTCTCATTACCATAGCGGCAATTATTCTTCAAGGCGAATCTGATGATTCGAAAAATTTCAATCAGGAAAAAGATTGGAAATTGGCAAAAACTGTTTATGACTTTCATGCAAAAGACATTGATGGCAATGATGTTTCACTTACAAAATATAAAGGTTCCGTTCTTGTGATTGTCAATGTTGCAACAAATTGTACATTAACTGACGCCAATTATGAACAACTTCAAAATCTCTATCAAACTTATGGCAATTCAAAGGGATTGAAAATTCTTGCTTTTCCTTGTAATCAATTTGCTGGCCAAGAACCGGGTACACCACAACAAATTAAACAATTTGTTAAGGATCGTTTTAATGTCACATTTGATATGTTTGATAAAATTGAAGTGAATCAAGAAAATGCACATCCACTGTGGAAATGGATGAAATCACAGCCAAAAGGAGCGGGTACCAATGGAACACAAGATATTGAATGGAATTTCACTAAATTTATTATTAATAAAAATGGTGAAGTTGTCACGAGATTTGCACCACGAATTGAACCAAATGAAATGAAAGGTACACTCGAGAAATTATTTGATGAGAAAGTTTAAAAATAATTATAATTTTCATTTATTTTTTTTGTATAAAAGTAGAAATATAATTTAGATTTTCTTATAGTTTTAATATTGAATTATTTTTAAATTTATTTTAATAAGAAAATTTAATTTTTATATTCATATATTTGTTTATATTCTTAGTGGAAAAAAAAAAATTCATATTTCCTTGAAAAATTGTAAATAAAAAAAAATCATACTAATATACAAATTTTTCCTATTTTTTAAGTTAACATTAATTTTTTTTATATTTTTAATAATTTTTAATTTAAAATAAATTAATATTAAATTTAAGATCTATTGTTAAGTATAAATGATGTATTTGATAAGAATAAAAAAGTTTAAGTGAATTTCATTCCAATTGTTATATTATTTCATTTTTTATATTACGAATTCATGTTTTTATTACCATTTTTATTCGATATAATTATTCATTAACCTTCGCATACAGGTTTCTCTAGTTTTTTTCTTCACATTTAATGACTAAGAATACAAAAAAAAAAAAGGATTAGGATTCTAGTCACTTTTTTCCTCTTCGCTACACTGAAAAAATTGATTATTAAAAAAAATAAATAATTTTTTAAAAAAGTATTTGAAATTACAAAGAAAAAAAAATTCTAAATTTATTCTTAAACTGGTTTTTATTAGATTCTTAAAATCTAAATATACACCTAAATAGCTGTACAAAAATTTGATCAGGCGATATTGGATTGAACGTCCTTAATCACTAGAATATGTATAAAATATTCGTTAATAATAACATCGGCATAAACTAAAATATAAAAAAAAAAATTCTATAGTCACAATGAAAGTTTCATTGAAGGCACAACCAATTTAAAAAAAAATAAACATGATTATATAAATTTCTGTCAATTTTTGTGGAGTATTTTTCATTTTAAAATCGAACATTAGTTTCTACTCTCATACATTGTTTTTTTTTTTTTTTTTTGCTTATTGTAATATAATATTGCTTATAAAACTATATGTATATATAAATTTGCTTACATTTAATATGATTTTTCAGATTTATGAAATTTAGCCTAGTAATTTTACTTATATAGATGTATATTTTGTTTTACTTAATATGTAAATTTTAATAATATATAATGCGAAACGAATACTTTTTTTTTTCATCTAAAATATAAGTTTTTCATATGTAAACTTAAATATTGCAAGATGGATTCTATTTACAGACTTTCATACAACACAACATTTTCAGACTTAGATTCAAATACGATTGATGTGATCTTTGATTTTATCAAATTGAATTATTTGAATCTTCGATTATTTCGATTATCATCGAATTTCAATCAAATATATATATATATATATTTTTTTTGTAAAATACATCTCATGAGATGAATTTATGGACGGAGTTAATTATAAGAAATATCTAATATATACTTATTATATTAGACATGAGGCAATAAGTTAGGCGATTTATGCATTCTCCTTAGCATTGGCACTTGAGTTCATGGTGGACATTTCGTGTTCTGCTGCTGGTTTATTATTCCGCCCGTTGCTTACTGTTACTGTGTCCTCACAAGTCTGTATAGAAAAATGCAAATCAATTTTTACTTTCCTTTTTTTCTCGCTATTTATATATATAATGCTTCAAATTACATTTTTGCGAGTGAAGAATATAAAGAATTACTGAGAATTAATAAAAAATTTACATTTTCAAACAAAGAAAGAATCGTGACGCATGAATAAGTTTTAAAATAAATTTTTCGAATTATAATTTAATAGAATCTTATTCTTTAGAATATTAATTTTTCAAAATATTTATTTGTTCGAATATTAATGTTTTAGAAAATGTAAAATGGTCGATAATCAATTTGAAAGAATTTTTATTTAGACGAAAAAATTAATTTGTCAGAAATTCAATTTGATCGAAACTTTGTCATGTTAGAATATTAAATTTTTTAGAATTGTAATTTATAAGAATTTTAATTTTACAGAATATTAATCGAATATTAATATTACAGAAAATTAAAATTGTCAATTAAATTAATTTGCCAGAAATAATTCGTTGGCAATTTCAAATTTCATCAATCACAATTTTCTTGATAATTTCTGATTGATCTCATATTTTGAAGTTTCCGCCGTATTATTTCTGGCAAAATTGATTTTCAACTATTTCAATTTTCTGGAACATTAATATTCAAGCAAATCAATATTCTGCAAAATTAATATATTCTTTTTCTGCAAAATTAAGATTCTTTTAAATTACAAATTCTGCAAATTTAATATTCTACATGACAAAGTTTCAATTAAATTGAATTTCTGACAAATTAATTTTTGTCTAAATAAAAATTCTATTAAATTGATTTTCGACCATTTGCATTTTTCAAAATATTAATATTCAAATAAATAAATATTCTGAAAAATTAATATTTTAAAAGAATAAAATTCTATTAAATTATTATAATTGTAAAAAATTTTGTTTGGAGCTTATTCATATGCGCCCCGAAAGAATCATGTTTGGAAATGACAATAATATTGTTCTCAGAATAATGAAAAGATAAAAAAGATATAAAAGATAATTTTTTTGAAAGAAGATAATTTTGAAGAAAAATGATTTCTCGTAGAAAAACAGAAAGAATGAAATTTTTCAAACTAAAAGCAGAAATAAGTGCGAAATAAATGGAAAAGAAGTAGAAAAAAGCAATAAATTACCCATAGTTTCTTGTTGCAATTCTACCTTGTAGGAAGGGTTGTCATAGGCTGATGTTGTTTTACGAGGTGAAATATCAGCCTTGCTGCTAGTTCTCCTTTTCATCAGCATCATCAATAAAATGAGAGTTGATAAAACAGCCAATGATGCAACTATCGCAACAATCACCAATGGTCCATAATAATCACCTTCGTGAAGTGGAATTGATGCCAATTTTCCTATTAAAAAAGACAAAAATTAAAAATAACTCGAAAATATTTTATCATAAGTAAATTAAATTTTTTTTTTTTTTTTTTACCAGAAACACCAGAAGGAAGTGGAACGCCAGCTTTTGTGATAAAATCTTGAACGTTACTCTTTTTAATTTTTCCATTTGTCAAATAGACTTCAATCCATAATCGATATCTTGTTCCAGGTTTAAGTTCACTGACAATTGTTTTTGCTGGTGAATCTCTTTTCGCTATTTTAAAGACACTTGTGTCTTCTTTTCCACTGTCACTTTGATAAATAGCCCTGTAAATATTGACGTACTTGTCTTCAGGATAAGGAACTCCATTCCAAGAAACTTCCACATCTCTTGATTTAATATTGTTGATTTCAACTCGAATATTGAATGCATAGGGATCTGGCTCTTGGTATGTTGTAAAGTGAGTCTGTAAATTTTTATTTTATTATTTCAATTTTTTATATTTAATATATGACAAATTTTATGTTATCATTATTTTTTTTTAATTTTTAGGGTTCCGTACTCGGTTTGGAATCCTATTAATATCGATTTTTTTGAAATCGTGTAACTATATATATATATTTTTTAAACATTTGTTTTTATACCAAAGGAGGAAGAATTTTCTTAAATTTTTTTTTCAAACTTGTTCCTTTTTGTATCACTTATATTATTTGTCATACAACACATATTTTTTAAACATTTGTTTTCATAACAAATAAGTTCGCTTTGAGTACGGAACCTTCAATTTCAGTGCGAGTGTAACTCGTACTTGTCCGATTTTTTACTTTATAATAAAAATGTAGTTTTTTTTTGGTGATAGAGTATTATCTCTTATATATAAAAAGACTCTTCATGTATATTTATTTATTTATTGAAACACCACCGTATATGTTTCTTATTGAAAATTATTACTGAAATTGGCACTTTTTATTACTATTATCGACATTAAAACTTGACGAAAAACAGATTCACAAAATTTAAAAATTAACATCTACTTTTGTCAGGTATTTTAGTTTACACTTCTGATTATTCTTTTTCTATAATAATTATCAATTATCACTTTATAAACTCGCATATTCAATGATAACAATTTATAGCAGAAAAATAGTTTTTTTTTCTATAATTTATAATATTGAAGACGAAAATAGTTGACAAAAGTAAACACCAGGTGGCGTATTGCATCAGTAATCGCGCGCGTTCTATCCGACATGTTTTTTTTTTGGTTAGAAACAAATTCGGTGGTATGAAGTGCGGTTCATCAAATTTTACTGCAATTATGTCTGGCATTGAGTTTAAAAATCTAAAATGTAATTAGAATAAGTAGTAATGTGAAGTGTTAATATATTGTTGAATTAAGTATAATAAAACGAATACTTGGAAATTGGGATAGAAAAAGTGAGGTTAGAATTGACGTCACTGTTCAGATTTTTCGTATTCAAACACATAGAAATATTTACCATCAGTTATTAAAATTCGCCAAAATAATTAAATAAAGAGTGTATTTTATCGTTTATTTATGCGAAATTTTGATTAATAATAATAAAGTTAATATTTTTCAATATATATATTGTTACGGGAGTGTTCGAATTTTAACAATATTTTCACGTTATCAATTATTTTTCAGTGATTGTTGACACGGGAGTGCTCGATTTTTTTTAAATCGCATTTATTCGTTTAAAAAGAAATTTAATAAAGTTCGTGGAAAGTTAGTATAAAATAAAAAGTCCGGGAGTGTTGTACTTTTTTTTTTTTTTTTTTTTTAAATCTGTGTGTTTGTGATCTCGTCTCAACTTCAGGAAGAAGATCGTGCAGAAGCTGATGTCACTTTATTGTAAGTTTTTTTACTTGTTTTTTTATTGTTATTAAAATGTGTTTAGTTTCGTTTTTTCTTTTTAAAATAAACTTATCTTAAATATTAAATTTCATTTTTTCTTGGTTTAGCAAAATTGAAACAATTTTTACTTTTAAAGAAATAATAATTTAAAATAAAATTAATCTCTCACAAAATAGGAATATACGAACCTTTTTATCGCTGATCAATTCAGTCGTTTGTCCAGGGAAGGGTATAAATATAATTTGCACCTCATAGTTGGTTGAAGGTTTCAAATTTTCAATTTCGAAATTAGTCACCTTTCGATGGATCATTGGAGTGGTGATATAAATCTTACTATCTGGTTCTTTATATCTCAATTGAATTCCATCAATGAATTGAAGTTCATAATCAGAGAGAATCTTCCAATTCACATTGACCCAAGTTGAATTAATTTCTTGAATTCTCAGTTCAGCATCGATTGGAATTTGTGGCGGTAATGTTGAAACTTCTGGAAGTTTATCAAGTGTTTTGACAGTATAAATTTTACTCATTGGAGTATTGCTTAGCTGTTGAAGTTTGACGATAATTTTCACTTTATAAACAGTCGATGGTTTCAAGTCGCCCAATTCAAATTCCAATTGTTGAGTGGCTATCAAATCATCTGGTGGTGCAAACTCTTGCGATTTCCATGTTGCTGGCTCAAAGTTACTGAAATTAATAAAATTTTATAATTTAAACTTATTTTAATTAACACTATTTGTAATTATTATAATTTATATCACTGGAAAAAAAAAAATTATTTGATTCAAATATTCGGTTACTAAATTATTATCAAATAAATAATTACTTGAACCAAATAATTTTTATTTTTGCCAATTAAATAGTATTTGTTTAAAATACAGAAATTATTGATCCAAATACTCGTTGGCGCGCCACACGCGCAATATTAAAAATTCAATATTTTTTAAACTATTGAATTAATCTACTTGAAACTTTACAGAAAACTTCATTATATACTAATACACAAATGTCTCACTGGAAGTTCTTTCAACTATGAACTTCCCCGCAGACTTTTTGTCGGCGAAGATAACTGAGTATGATTACCGACAGGTATTTGTTTATAATTAAAAATTGGTCAACAATTGAAAAAAATTCAACATTTTTTTAGACTATCGTCATATATGGACCCAAACTCGGAAGTATGCAAAATCTCATTGGAATTGATTAATATTTGTCGAAGATACGATGATTTATGTTTAAAAATTGAATGAAATTTGTAAATAAAAATTTATTAGTTTTTTACATTTATTAATTAAACTATTCATTTGACAAAAAAATCCAGAGGAAAAAAAGATGCGCCTTTTCATTTCCTACAAGATAGCATTTTTCAAAAATCAAAAATTTCGAATTTTATTTTTTCATCATTTTTGTATGTTTGACTTGCTTTGTAGCGTGCAGCCGAGCGCTTGGCGAGTTCTTATTTCCAGGTGCTCATTTATTTTGATAATAGTTCAAGAAACCGATTTATTTGAATTAAATCAATTTTTTTTTATTATAATTTTCTCCTTACGTCTTATCGCTGGTGTAACGAAGTTCAACTCTTCCGTGTAGTCCTACAAGAACACCAGGTACAGTAAAAACTAAACGAACAGTGTGCTCATCCAAAGCTTCTAAAGCTTGAACGCTGACTTCATCTTGTTGACCACCTGGACCAGTGAAACCTGGTGGTGCTCCAGATATTGGATAGACTTGATGATGTCCATGTTCAAGTCCTGTATTATAAAATAATTAATAAATATTACATAATTTTTGATTTTTCAAATTTATTTTTTGATATTACTTGAAACAAAAAGTATGCAAAATTTTTGAATAAATTAATTTCAATTTTTTCGTTACGTTTTCTGTTTATGGAATTTACGAATGAATTCTCGAAATTATTTTAGAAAGAAATTAGTATAGATTGTTCAAGTATCATCAAATCATTTTTTAAAAACGGCTTTCTTGAGAAATAGTATTAGAAAACTTTGGAAAACCTTTGTGATTTGGTTACAAAATTTTTTTTACTTAGATTATATAATCTAGGTAAAAAATTTTGTAAACATAATTATCTGCACTGAAAAAAAAATTGATTTTATTCAAATATTCGGTTACTAAATTATTATCAAATAAATAAGTACTTGAACCAAATAATTTTTATTTGAGACAATTAAATAGTATTTATTTCAAATACAGAAATTATTGGTCCAAATACAATTTATTTATAATATTAATTAATTTTTTTAATTTGATAATATTCAAGTAACCGATTATTTGAATCAAATAAATTTATTTCTCAGTGTATACCAGGGAAAATTTGAATAATTTCTATTCAACAATTCAAGTCTTCTAATATTATTTTGGAGGCGCATGATTATCTTATAAAAATAATTAGTTACAATTTTCTATTAAAAGAATTCTATTAAAAATATAATTGTTTCTTTTCATGAATTGTAATTTTTTGAATTAGCATTTGACGAAATTCATTTTAAAACGGAATTTTTATTTACAGAATTTTCAATTCACCGAATTTTAATTTTCTGACGAAGCTGAAGTACGCAATGTTTATGATAAATTATTTTTAAAGAAATAATTTTTTTAAATAAAAAATTCTATAATTTTTCACCTGAAAAATATTTCTTGTAGTTTTCATTAATCAACAAATTATAGAAAAATATTTTTTAGGCGAAAAATTATAAAAATTTTTCATTTTAAAAAATTATTTCTTTAAAAATTGTTTATCATAAACGTTGCGTACTTCAGCTTCGTAAAAATATTTCGGCGCTATTTTTAAAATTTACCAATAATGATTTTTTTTTTACATAATTTCCGATTGGTTAATTTTAACAATTTTTGCTGAAATCTTTCTGTTGATTATAATATATTCAGCCATTTGCAATTTCGGAAAAATAAACATTTTTCGTTTTAAAAATTATATAAAATAAGAATTCATGCAAATAAAAATTCAAACAAATAAGGATTCCGTGATTTAGAAATTTTTACATTTAAAAATTCATATCACTTAAAATTCTATTAAATGAGAATTATGCTAAATTAAAATCCTATTAAATTAGAATTCTTTTAATTAAAAAATCGGGCAAAAAGAAATTCTATAAAATAAAAATAAAATTTAGGTAGCTAAAAATTTTTCTACGTAAAAATTCGTTTAAAAAGAATTTCTGTTAATCAATTCAAAAAATGAAAATTTGTTTAAAAAATAATTATATCTAATAAAATTCTTTAAATTGAAAATTCCAACTAATTATTTTTATGAAATAATAATGCGCCTCTTATTTCGTGATCAAGAAATAGAATAAGGTGTCTAAGTAGAAATTTCCACGGATAGTTATTTTTTAGTATTGTGACAGATTTTAGCGAATGAAGACTCCTTATTCTAGTTCACGTGTTCGTGATTTTTTTTTTTTTCTAAAATCAGGGACGAACCTGACTGGTTTGGTGTTTGTGCGGCAAACGGATGGTTCAAGTGCGTGAGTCCAGACTGTGGAATATGTTCATCGGGATGAATTGGCAAGGAAGGTGAATTGTGTCCAGCAACATTGTGTGGAATACCCTGTTGAGCTGGATAATGTTGGAAAGGACCAATATTTGGATTTTGAGAAATGTGTGACAATAATAATTCCTCAATTTGTTGTGGTGAATTGGGAATTTCCGAGGTGTGAATATGATAAGTAGTTTCACCATTTTCATTTTTTTGTGTAAATATTTGAGATTTAATTCCTTTCTTAGGAGGTAATGGATCATTATTACCATTAAAGTACGGTGGAATTTGATTAACAGGTGGATTTTTCTGTCCTACGATCTTTTGATGAAGATCATAGAGACCTTGATGTCCCGTTGGAGGACCATGATCCAATTGAATCAATCCTGGATGTTGAGAGAGTGTGTGAATAAAAGGATGATATTGTTCATCGTCTGAATTATTGGGAACTTGATTCTTTTGATTTGGTTTAATTCCCGTTCCAGTGGGTTTGGATTTCACATCATTTGATGAGTCTTTCTTCTTGGGTGGTGCTATCACCAAATTAGGATCGTTGTGTTCAATTTTTCCCGGTCCACGATAAGGAGGACCAACAGCGGGATTTTCAAATTGAGAATTAAAATGATCGGGTGGAATATTTTCACCGTTTGTTGGACTAAAGTCGAATACTGGTCCTGAATGATCGTGAGTATCAAGTGGAATGAATTGTGGTTCTTCGGGGTGTTCTTCTTTTGGTCGTTTATTAACTGGGAACTTGTCGGGAGCAAATGGACCGAGGAATTGTTCGACGGTGTCCTTGTGGGGTTTTACGGGATCGACAGGTTTTTTGGAATCTGATTTGGGTTTGGATTTTTCCTTAAGGGGTGGTGCAGTCTTTTCAGAATGGGGATAAAGATCAAAGAGTTCCTCAACGCTGGGATCAGTGGGTTTGTAATCAGGATTGTAGGGACCATTGTAGGGTATTGTTGGATGTCCTGGATCCATTGGATAATGGAAGATTTCGTGCTCTGGTTTTGAATTTTGTGTCTTTTTGGGTGATTGCCAGGGGTAGATGCCGCGCTCTGGTTCCTGGATAGGCCTGGACATTTCCGACTTGTTATTTGATTTTTTGCTATCGTCAAGCTTGGGGCGACTGATCGCGTCTGGGGCTAAAGAGCCAAGATTCGCGGACGTCATGTTCTCTCCTGCAATAAGTAAAGTCGAGAGTCAGAGAGAGATTGAGAGAGTGAGAGAGAGAGACAAGTGATAAATCAGTGATCAGTCCCAAGTTGTCTAAAATCCATGCACATTTCCAATATCCGACAATATGTACAGCCTACTATGTACCGGATTGAAGCATGCAACCATCTCGAACAGGGAACTACTTGTGGGTTTTTTTTTCAACAGTTGCACAACCATTCGGGATAAAATCTCTTCCGGTCTTCATACAAGGACAGATCCAGTCAGGTCCGCACTCCAGTTCAAAGCATTCACAAAGCAGGTTTTTGCACTAGAAATACCTTCACCGTAGTTATTAGTACAATCTGCTCACTGTTATTGATACACCAAACATAGGGGGGGATAAAAGAGAGTTTTGAGACAAAATAGCCTCTTTCAAGCACTAATTCTACAAGTTATGATTAAGTGATTTTGGAATTAGAAAAATCGTGCTGGATTAGTTTTTCTTTTAAATACCTGGTGCTTCACTGCAAATCCATTGCATGCAGCAATCATCTCCTGGTAAGTGGGTTAATTTTGCCTCGTATGGTGGACATGGTAGATTAGATGGTGGTTGAGCAGTTACTGGTGGACAGGCAGGTGAGCAGGTGACGTTGCCTATTTCGCAGAAACATCTTTTTTCACAGCCTGTTACATTTGATGGAAGCTCGCTAAAATTTTCATAATTCTGCCCCTCATAGTTGCAGGATCCATTGCTTCTGCATCTTACTTCCTGTAGAAATTAATTTTTTTTTATTAGCTTGTAAATTAATAAAGTAAATTATTAAATTGTTTAGGAAATTGTAAATCAAAATACCAACCTGAGCACAACAATGAGGTGGTTTAGCTTCAAAATCAGGAGGAACAGTCTCCCAATCTATGCAATTTGGATCTAGAGCATCTAATCCAAAATCAGTGGGACACTGAATTGTTGAACATTCAGCCACTGCACTTGCATTACAGAAACATAAAGAGATACACTCGTCATACCACTCTTCACCAATCTTGTATGTCTTTCCTCTATGGTTGCAAGACTTTTTGTCACCTTTTTCTGAGACATTTGTCTTGATCACTTCTGCTAATAAGGAGACATGAAGAGCATGACCCACTCGTCCATTTTCAATCACTCGGATATAATAGCTGTGAGCTGGTTCCAATCCATGTACAATTCCCTCTGTGAGATAAATTTTTATTATTTTCTATTTTGAATATATTTGAAAAAAAAAATTCTTACAAGATTTTAAAAATATATATACCTTTGTCAGGTTTGACTTGTCTCCAGACGTGATTGTTTTCCGAGAGCTCAATTGTCACATTCTCGGGATTTTTTGTTGACAATATCAGTTTAATAGCAGTTGAATTGAGGACTTTCACGTCTGTCAAGTTGACTGAAAGTTCTGCTGGATTTTCGGGTTTTAGTTCATGTTCCTCAAGTGTCACGTCACAGAGAGTGATGGTACAGCATTTATCACTTGAATATTACGAATTTTTTTTTAAAGAATAAAGAAAAATGAAAAGATAACAAAAGATGAGGTAATAATATTTTGTAACTAGGAATTATTTTTTTGCAAGAGTTTAATAACCTAGATGAAAAGATGATATCTTGTGTATGATTACCTTGGATCCGTTAAGGCCACACAACGATCGTGCTGAGTAACACCGGAAGTTGTGTCGTTCGGTGGACATCTAGGTTGACACTTTAGTGATCCTCCTTCTTCGCAAATACAAATTCTCGTACATCCATCTTCAACTCTTTGACCTCTTGTTAGAGTTTTATTACCAAAAATGCATGTTTCATCTGGTTCGGTTGCTAAGAAGAAAATTAAAAATTAAAATTTGAATTATTTGTAAAATGTCTGAATTTGTCTGAATTTACCTGAATCTTCAGCGCAGACCATAATTGCACAACATGGTTGTTCTGGAATCATTTTCTCCTCGCAAAGTGGATCGTGAATTCCTTTTCCAGCACGAACATAGGGAGTTGTACACATTGGTTTACAATCGACAATTTTTCCATCTTCTCCACATATACATTTTTCATCGCAACCTCTTGTGACTTTTTCCCCTACTGCAAACGTTTTATTACCTTCCGTGCAAATGGTAATTATTGGTATCAATGTTGGGAAAATATTTATGCTTGTGTCGTTCTCTGGAGCAATGTACTCGCCACCTGGAATTATTAAAAAAAAAAGAAATAATTTTGCTGTTTAAAAAAAAACATTAATTTATTATGGAAGATTAAATTGAAATTTCTGAATGTAGGCAATATTATTTAATTTTTTTTTAAAAGATGCATACCTTCGACTTCTTTATCATCAGCATCCATGCTAACATCACTGAGGTCCGTTACGTTTGCATGTAAGGAATTTGTCGGCTCAGGAGCAGATATGTTAAGAGCTCTGGCTCTCGAAGAAGTTGTTTCCATCGTTGTCGATATTTCTTCCTCTTTTGTGGTTGTTTCGGACATTGAAATAATTTTTGTTGTCGATGGAATTTCGGTACTTGAAACCGGATTGAGTTTCGGTACCAAATTTGGTATACCTTGAACCAAAATAGGAATTGCATCTGTTTTGTTGCTTTCAATTAATTTTTCGCTCATTGTAATCATTTCTTGTTCCTCGGTTGTGGTTTCAAATGTTGTTTCAAAAATTGTCGTTGTTGTTTCCATTGTTTCAGTATTAGTGTACTGTTCAGTTACTAATGATTCTTCCTTAGCGGGCTTTGGATATTTCATCTCAACTTTTGGCTTGAAATCAAAAGCTTTCTTTTTGCTATCGATTGATAATAATTTTGAATCAGCATCTTTGGTGGGGTATTCATTTTTAGTTTCAACCACCCTTGCAATGGTGTCACTTTCTGATATTGGCACAGTTGGTAGTGGTTCTACTCCTGGAATATTGTCGTCGACTGAAAAATAAAATTTTTGTTTTAGATTTTGAAAATTTTATTCGGAAAATATGGAAAGTTGTTTTTGATAATTAAACTATTTAGGATTTGATTTATTGAAAAGTGAAATTTTCTTCGCGAGGACAACATTCTTGGAAAATAATCCTAAAAGTGAGTGGAACTTTTTAGCTGGTTGTTTTCATTGAAACAAGTCAAGTCTGGAAAAATAAGATCTCCTTGAGAAAATATACACACCAAGAGGGAATCTTGTCTATGACTCTTATATATAGCGAAAGTTGACACTCGAAACGCAGGCGTGTTCTCAATTCATAAAAGAAACTGTCATTGAATAAGTTTAGAAAATCAATTAGGAAAGTTGAAATATCAGTCACTGTTTAAAAAAAAATCTCAAGATAGATTTTGAGAAGAAACTTTTAGAAAACGTGAAAGTTCAAATATATAATTGAAATTAATTATTTATAATATTTGCACTTTCTTATAATGTTATAATTTTTTGTTTTTCCCCTGTAAATTAATAGATTTTTTTGACGTATTGCAAATGAAAATTAAGATCATCACTTTCAGTGACATAGTGCCATTGTGGACAATCATTTCATCATTTAAACCGGATGTTGCCATTATTATTATTATTACGTTACGGTTCGTGTAAGTTTATTGCAATAGGTAAAAGTTTTCACCTCTGTCCTTTAACTTGTCAATTTTTTCTACCTTTCTCTTTGTTCTTTTTTGTTTAGTCGATATTGATCAAAAAAAATTATTTTCAGCTAATTATAATTTTTGAAAAAGAATTAATTGGAGAAAAAAATATTTTTTTTACATTTATATATAGAGGAAAGTAAAGAAATGAAAGAAGAAAAAGAAGTGTTTAGCCACGGCTCTTGATTCGGAATAAGAAGGTGTAAATAAGTGAAAGATATTGTTGAAATGTAAATGCAAATACAGTGGAGATAAAACCGGAAGTGCGACCTTCGTAAAGCAAGTTTTCGCAGGCATTTCCTTCGTTAGTATGCGTTTTCCTTTTAACTTAACACAAACCCTAGAACGGAAGGAGGTACGTTACTCTCGAGAAAACCCATTAATGATATAGCTTTATATTTTATCCACTAGCTCTACATTCCAGAATGCGTCTTAATTTAAAAAAAAAAATATAGTTACCTAATTTATAATTGTAATTAACGATGATTTATCAAAAACAAATATTTTTTATCTTACGGCATCATCTTGGAAAAATCATTTTTAATGAATTAATTATAATATATTCTTTATAATTTCTATTCAGAGTACACATGTGACTTTATGAATAAAGAAAAGAGGAATTATAATTTACAAAATGAGAATTTGAATATAAAGTATATCATGAATAGGGATTAGAAGACACGAAATATTTTTTTTTTAACTGGACTATACTTTTTCTATGCGCTTGCAAGAAAGTGCACTCAACTCTCAATTAGGCGATGAGTTTCTGTTCATTTTTCGTTGAGAATAAATCTCTCGCTCAGGTGTGTGTTTAATTAGCCTTAACGGTGTATAATAAAGATAATTTTTTGAGAACAATGCATAACAGAGTAAAATTTCGCGATTTTCTTTATCGTTTGCCTTTTTCATCTCACACAAAAGCTCACCCATTTGCATTGGAAACATATTTATACTCCAACATATATATGCATTGTCAGATGAGTATACTTGATATATAAACTATCGACCATTAATGCGTGAAACCTGAATATATGTGAGCAGATAAACTTTTGTCCTTTCACATCCTTGACACACATCTTCTGTATATTGCGATTTAAAAAGAAAACTCATTAAACTATTTAGTTTATATTTGAGACAGAAATTTATTAACGATTACAATTTTTTTCTTTCTTTTTTTTTAAAAATCAGTTTCATTTATATGTAAAGTATTCTATTTTTATATAATTGAGGTCAAAAATCTTAACATTGCAAATGCTTTATAATTGGGATTATTATAAGTGCAATAATTAGTGTCTCCACATAACGGTTTTTGGCGTGCAGAAATTGGAATTTCAATTTTTACGTGCTACAGAGCAGCAAGTTTATAAAAAAAAAAAAAAAAAAATGCGTGTTTTCTTTTTTTTTCTATTATTTTTCATTATCATTTGAATTTCAATTTGTATCGTTAATTTATTTTTTTTTTTCTCTTACAATACTTTCTCATGGATGAAGAGTTTCAATTTTTTTAATTATTTTATATTTATATATATATACAGTGAAAAAAAATTTATTTGATTCAAATAATAATTTGTTATTATAAGTATTTTAATTTATTTTGCAGATTCTATCCTCGATGGCTTGTTGTGTGTTACGTGTACTTCAAAGATAAGGGCAAAAGAACAACGAATTCTTCATAATTCAGACTTTTTAGAACTCGGTCTATTTTGACGGTTATTTTTTACATTTTCTAAATGGAAATTTAACTTGAAAGTGGGGATCTCCGAGGGCTATTTAGTATGAAAGAATATCTTCTTGAAGCTGAAAATTCGTCATTAAGGTAAATATTTTAATTTATTGGAAAAATTTTATTAACAAAAAATTTAGTTGTATTTTTTGACGTGAGACAACGTCATTACTACGAGGTATATAGGGAGTCAGTCAGAGAAATTGGCTTATCATATCGCCGACGATTTCTCGAAAACTATAAGTCATATTTTCAAGATTTTTGTGTTATTCGATTAAAAAAAAAACTAAAAAAAGACGTCACGATTACAAACGAATAAAGTAACTTTTACTACTTTAAAAGTAAAATCGGAACTGTCTGCAGTTTCTGCGCATTTCTGGAAATTTCTACTCTAGAAATAGTGAAATTTACTATTTCCGGAATAATTTTTACTATTTCAGGAGTAAATTTTACTACTTCTGGAGTAAAAATTGTCAGAAATGCGCAGAAAGTATGGACAGTTACAGTTTTACTTTTAAAGTAGTAAAAGTTATTTTAGAGGGGCCATTCATTAATTACGTAAGGACGATTTTGGCTAATTTTGACCTCCCCCCTACCCCCATGTAAGGATACATAAGATTTTTCGGACTCCCCCTCCCCCTTCTTACGTAAGTTTTTAACAATATTAATGTAATTAAAAAATTAATTACATCATAATACAAATGGAAAATACTTGGCAAAATCTTACGTAAGATTAGCTTCTACCCCCCACCCCCCACGTAAGACCATGTAGAGATTTTATAAACCCCCCCTCCCCCTAAGGACCCTTACGTAATTAATGAATGGCCCCTTATTCGTTTTTCCATTTTTCTCCGTGAAGTAGGACGTAAGCTTACGGCAAGCTTGCCGCGCAATATTGCCAACCTTACACGGCAAACTTGCTGCAAGCTTACTGCTAGTTTCAAATGTCCCACCTGACCCAAGCTTGTATGGTAAGCTTACCGAAAGGTTACAGTGTAAGGTAACTGCAAGATTTCTCAGTAAGTTTGCACGGTAAGCTAGTTGCAAGGTTGGTGCAAGGTTGCCAACAAAAAAATTTTGTTGGTATTTAAGCAATCAAACTATTTGTTTGAGTCAACCAAAAAATTTGGTTGAGTGTTTTTTGTTGGCATAACAAAAATTTGGTTTGGTTAGCTCAACCAAATTTTTTTTGTTAGGTCAACAAAAATGTTTGGTTGATCAAACAAACAGTTTTTTTTTCTAAAATTAAAAATTTTATTCTACCTTATTTCTTTTCTTTTTATCTTTTTTATTTATTTCATTATTTATCTTAAGCTATGAGCTGAGAGCGAATCAAATTAGTTGGTTGTCGCAACCAAATTTTGGTTAGGACAACAAACGATCATTTGGTTTTTTAGACCAAACTATTTTGTTGTGTTAACCAAATTATTTTGTTGTCGTAACCAAATTTTGTTTGGAATTTAAAAATGTTCAATCAAATAATTTTGTTGGCCTAACCAAATGTTTGGTTGAGATAACACAGAAAATTAAAAGGCATTAAAATAAGCTGCAACGCTTATTAATTTAATCCAATTTTGCTTATTTTAATACCAAAATGGATTAAAATAAGCAAAATTGGATTAAAATAATAAGCGTTGCAGCTTATTTTAATGCCTTTTAATTTTCTGTGAACACGTTTCAGCCAACCAAAATTTGGTTACAAGAACCAAAATTGCCTAACCAAACAATTTTATTGCAAACACTTAATTTTTTTCTCAGTGTAATGAAAGAGTGCCTATTCGTTTAACAATTGAATTAGTAACAGTATTGACTAATTTTTAGTAAAAAAAACTACTAATTGCTAGTAGAAAACTACTAATTCATGGAGTAAGTCGCATTTTTTACTATTTCAAATTAGTAAGCTATGAATTATTAGTTTTCTACTAGCAATTAGTAGTTGTTTTTTTACTAAAAATTAGTTACTAATTCAGATTTAAAGAGTAGAAAAATGTTCTTAAAAATAGAAATAATAGAATATTTAAAAATTTTAAAAATAAATATTTAATTTAAAGTGAAAATAGTCCCGCATTCCTGAAATTTAATGACTCGGAATTGTGCGGTTTTTTTTTCGAAGTTCGTCGAAGTGAAATTGGTATATGTATATATATATATAGAAAAATGAGGAGTGGAATTACATTATCAAAACATTATCTTTTAGTGAAAGATCCGGAAGTTGGGGATTCCGAACAGAAGAGCGGGAATTGTCGTTGTTATATATATATAGTGTTTTTATTTCATGGTTCGACGATTGTATACATATTGCATAGTATACCATCATCATTGTGTAGTTTAACTATGAGGAATTCTTCTTTTAGTAGAGAGAGAGAGAAAGATCAATGCCTATGATATGAATATGAGGTAGAAAGTCTTCCTTTGGAACAAAAATGGTTCAATTGCTTGAGAATTACGAAATTCAGAAGCTCCGCGCGTGAATTCCTATATATAGTTTGCTGCGATAAAATAGTTAAGAGAGCCAGTCAAGTGGAATCAACGACCCTTGGGAATAATCAAATTGTACTTTAACCTAGGAACTTTAAAATTAGTTTTCCAGTTCAACAGCTATTCGCCATTTTCAATCTTTATCGTCTCTCCTCTCTTGTTCCTTGAAAGGAACAAATCATTGAAAAAAAAAAATAACCGCTATAAAGTCAAAGAGATAAAAATCTTCTTCGATTGCTTTGAATATAATTATACTTGGGAAATATTTTTTTTTTTTTTTCACCAATTTTGATGGAATGGATGAAAAATTGAATTGAGGAGATAAATGGCGTAACGGTCTTATTCAGTCACGCGTGTTGGCGAGATTATACTTATATATATATTCTTTGTGAAGGAAACGAGATGTAATGGTGAAGGTTGTTGGGAATAATAAGAGTGGGGGGAAAAGCAAAAAAAAAAGAAAAAATTGTCAGGTCGCCGACTTTTCTACTTTCCGAGTTATTGTCGATTAAAGATAGAGAGAGAATATAATTTTAAATTGTTTTAGAATGATGTCAAATTAGTTTTATAGAATTGTGACGCATAATTTATGCAAATTTTTTTAGTAGGTTTCAAACACTTTGTAAAAAGTTATTTCTAAATATATATATATTTATTACAATTTATGCAAGTGTCGTAAAAAACTAAAAGCCGTTCACCACACTGATGTTGGAAGGTCGTACACGAGACCTGACTTTGATTTTTGTCTGAATGAGAATCGTAACGGTTTGGTTAGAGACCGGTTAATGTCGATACGGTATTCGTCATGGCGACATAACAAGTTCGCTAAGAAGTTATACTTTTGTGTTACACTATAAAAATCCCCATAAAGACAACAGAAATTTTTTGTTTTTTTCCGGTGTCTTGTAATGAATCCCATTCGAATTGATTTTCGTTGGTAATTTTGACATAGTGAGCTGAAATTTGGTACATTTTCGTATTTTTGCAGGAAAAATATTGGAAATCTATAAAAAAAAAAAACTATTTTTTTTATAAGTAATTTTCTATTTTTTAAATTTGTAATCAGAAATTTTGCCTTTTGAGAAAAATATTATCGCGAAATATGGCAGGGGAAATGTAATTTTTTTTTTCACGCCTTGTCTCGGAACACACGGTGTGGTGAATTACGGTATTTTATTATGATAATGTTTGGTAATTACTGAGTCAAGTTTCGATAAGCGGTACCCACTGCATTCCGCAAAGATATCTCTCCACGCGTGTTTCTTTTATATTATACACTATTTTCTGTAATTTCTGCAGAATCAAGAAACTGATTAAAATTACACAATTCTGTAAATTAAATTTTTTTTTGAATTTTCATTACTATTTTTTCAAAATTAAATTAAATTTTCATTTTTACTTTTAAATTATACATTTTTTTGAAATTAAATTAATTTTTTTTTAAATTGAATTGAATTTTTATAAAAATTAATTTATAATTATATATTATTATTATTATTTGAAGTTGTTAATATTTAATAATGAAGAGATTTTATATTTTGAGTCAGTTATAATATTATTTAGGCATCGATGAATTTCTACTCAGTAGATATTGAGAATTTTATATAATTATTATCATTTTAATATATCAATTACAAACGAAATGATTCGTAGAAAAAAAAAAAAAAATTTAGAAATTAAATTTTATATGTTGACATTCCTTGCGAGTCATATATTATTGAAATTATTAGATGATTAATTTTTGATCGAGTTTTAATATAGTAAATGCCTGAACGACTTTGCTTTCGAGACTGTCGATACTATTAGTGAAAGTCATTGCATATTTTCTAAATATAAAAATACTGACATTACATTCACAATATATGTATATATATGGCATATAGACGATCTCCTCTCATGTATAAAGTTTCACGACTAATTGAAAATCGCAAACATGTCTTTTAATTTGTAAAGCAAATTATATTCGGATTTATTTATTACTTGTAAAATTATCAAAAATTCATAATTATAATTTATTTTGTTGATTTTTTCTTTTTTTTTATTAATTTTTGTTTTTTTAATTTTTTTATTTTGAAAAATAAAAAAATGGATAAAAGTTACTTTTTAATTAATGGTTTTGAAGCGCTAAATTATTTATAATATAGTGACAATCGATGAAAGAATAATTTTTTTTTTTCGCGCGCGAAGCCAGTGAACGCGAAAATTAGTCACAGTGGTCATTAAGAGGATGTTCACTTGGTTTACCGCGGCAAACCGGAAATAGTGATTCTATAATACACACTGTATAATTTAAGTTACACCGTACAAAAATGTTAAATTGAAAAAAAAATCAAGACAATTAAAATGTGATTACATAATCATATACATTTTTAATTGTTTCGCGATTTGTTTCCTTATCGAACTTTCCTAATATATATATATATATATATATATATTAACATTTTCACTAATATTTGTTTTTTGTATAAATTTTATTCAATGAATAAAAAAAAAAAAATTCAAAGAACATTACTTAGCAGGATAAATAAATATTTAAAAAGACAACAAAAAAGCTCAGTTAAGTATATTCACGCGCATGAATATATATAAATTTGCATGTGCGGTGGTAAATCTTA